GTTAATTGCGGTATGCTTTTGAATTCGATTTAGACACAGCCTTGTACCGCGGATTTGTCGTCCATTTTCTCTTCGTTAGCAGTGAACAACTTCAAATTGAATTATTGATTTATATTTATTGATGTGTATTGCTAATATTGACCGGAATCAGTTAATATCTGATTCCCAGTATCAGATAAGCATTATGATAATCTTATTGATATGTGCTCGTTGTATTCAAGTTGTTTCCCAGGATCGGCTGATCATAATTGCATTGAAATTGCTGGATCATATTAACCAATTTGCTGAAATCTGTTTCCCAAAATTAATCAATCAAATGGTTGGAATTAAGTAGCAACCTATTGATGACATGTCGTCATGGTCTATTGGAAGCCCGGTCGTCATGCACGCCATTTCCAATATTAGAAAAACGTGGTTTTCGTAAAATTCTAAAACGTATATTGTTATTTTTGTTGTCGCCTTCTGTTTTTTTTTTAGAAACGTTTATAATGAACATTCTGAAATACAATTAAGCTTGATAGCCGTTCGTTAAAACGAAAACAAATAAATACCACAGAATATGTACACACTGGGTATAATTTCTGTAACGTTCTGCTGTGATCTACATAGCAATGACGCGATATTCGGTAAAACATCATACTTATATTACACTGTATGTAGGTAAGTGTTTTCACACAGTAGTTACCGGGCAACAGTCACTGCAACACTACCATATTACAGTTTACAGTTGTGTACGGCTCAATACGTTAGAGCGATTGGGAACATTTACACAGGTTAGTTATATATCTTTGTCTTAACGTATTTTACAAAGGCGTGTTTTGGTATGTTTTCGATAAATGAGTATTTTCTAGAGTGTCAATGTTTGAAAAAATTCAAAGTGATAATTTTGTTTTAAAATAGAAAACACAATCGCGTACAATACCTTTGATTGTGCCATGATCATTGTTCAAATGTCATTTAGAATAACATGGGTAAGCATGCGCTATGTATAATGGGCGCCACCACACAAATGTATTTCTTCTCTAAAAACATAGGATGGACGGTGTTGTAAGTATGAAATAGACGAGGGACGGTGTTGTAAGTCTAGATTAGACGATGGACGGTGTTGTTAGTCTGGGTTAGACGATGTACGGTGTTGTTAGTCTGGATTAGACGATGTACGGTGTTGTTAGTCTGGATTAGACGATGTACGGTGTTGTAAGTCTGGATTAGACGATGTACGGTGTTGTTAGTCTGGATTAGACGATGTACGGTGTTGTAAGTCTGGATTAGACGATGTACGGTGTTGTAAGTCTGCATTAGACGATGGACGGTGTTGTAAGCAGGGATTAGACGATGGACGGTGTTGTAAGTATGAAATAGACGATGGACGGTGTTGTAAGTCTGGATTAGACGATGTACGGTGTTTTTAGTCTAAATTCTATTTTGTATTCTATGTTGGACTTCATTATTTGTATGGCTCAATTATTTCAGTTCAGTCCTCAAAAACCAATACCTAACCATTGCTTGTACCATTAACCACCTAGATCACATGTCATTCTCCTTAGGGAATGTTAGTTATGTCACAATAGCTTTGTAGTCTTGACAGGATAAAGGCAAATGTTTTATTGGAATTTCTACCAATAAAGTGCTATTTTCCTGACAGGACATTGTCAGTTCATGTACATTATGTTAAAATGAACAATGTAGCATCTTTAATATTCTGTGCTTTGAAATGCTTCTTTCCCTACACGCAATACATCTGTTCTTGGTGTAATCTTCATTTTGCCCTTTCCTAAACCCAGTGATTTAACCCAAGCATCTAACCCCAACTCTGGGAGACATCTTTAAAGTGACTATCGGGTATTTCCAACAATATAATGATATTCTTACAGGTATTTGGCCGTTTTTTTGTTTTGGTTTCCTTTCCTTGGGGGATCAGTAGTTGTGTTAGATATAATTCTGTGTATTTTTAATAATATATATATGTATACTACGTATTAATTTCCCCCTCTGTCTGTCTGTCTGTCGGTCGGTCTGTCAGTCATGCTGTCTGTCAGTCTGTATGTCTGTCTGTCTGTCCCCCACCTCTCTCTCTCTCTCTCTCTCTCTCTCTCTCTCTCTCTCTCTCTCTCTCTCTCTCTCTCTCTCTCTCTCTCTCTCTCTCTCTTATAGATATGCAGTTTATGAAGTTTATATAAGATCTGCAATTTATATAAGGTAATTTCGCATGAAACTGTGTAATTGTTTATATTTTAGAGAAAAGTGCTTACTTATTGCATCCATTTTTGTTAACGAAAGAAATGTGTTCATGTCATCAATATTTTATCTGGCAGTGAGGTTAATCTCGTCCTTCATGAAGATCAGGAGCAATGGGTGCTGATGTAACAAGTAGAAGACGCTCTCACGGAGGCTGTAACTGCTGACGTCACACTTCAGGGACGACATCACAGGCTATGGCTAACAACATAAAAAAGGTTAAAGATGTATGTACCTATAAAATGTTATTGTAGTCCAATGGTGTCAAAAGTCATTCTGTCACTCCAAACCTTTGTTCCTTGTACAAGTTATCCCAATGTATCTATATCCTCTCCTCATTAATTGTATTGTAACAATGTGACAGCTTCAGTACATGTACATCTTACAACAATGGTTTGACTTAAGGAAATAACCAAACAATGGTTTGACTTAAGAAGGAAGAAACAGAAATAAAAAGACAAGGAAATGACGATATTATTTCCTTGAGAATAAAGGACTTATATATCTTATTAAACTTTAAACTGAATTTGATGATATGCATGCAATTTTGATTGTTGGAGAGCTGTTAAAAACACATTTGATTCAAATTTCATGAAGTGTTTCGTACAAAGTAAATTCAATTACTTTCTTTTTGATTATTATTTGGATTGGCTGCTAGAAATACTGTACAAATGTCTAACAACATAGATAGAAGTTGAAAAGGGCAAATGAACTTTGACCTACTTGTTGTCGAATTGCTGTTAATATTCAAAAATTTCCAAACGTCTAATTCTAGCACCTGTTTTTATGAACATCAATAAACATGCCAAAACGTCATCCTTTATTTCATCAATCAATGGATAATAATTTCATCCGGAACGAAAAACTGTCTTTTTTCAGTTTCATTTTGGAGCTCACCACTGGATAAAATAGGTTAAAAGAGTCGGTACCAAAACTTAAAATTGTAGAAATTATCGCATAGCCTTCAGTCTCCATGGATACGTAGAATTCTTAGGAATAGTGATAATGATAACAAATATCATAAATTGTTTGATTATCAGCAGGTTTAGGAGAGATGATTTCAAAGCATGGTTTAAGGTGTCAGTAACAACACATATCTTACACGAAATTTCTTTGCTCTTCATATTTGGCAAAACCTTCTTTGTTACCAGCCTTGTTATTGAAAAATGGTGTGACCAACCGGAAAAGAATGCAATATGATTCATTTGACCAAGACATTTGTTGGCAATGAATAAATATGACTTTGGATCTTAAACTTTCTGATTCTCATAATATATTTCATTCCATTTCAGTTGGAAGCAATTAATTTTTTCTCAATTACAAAAAAAAAAAAAAAAAAAAATTCGTACCAATACCATAATAGAAATATGGTTTAAATACGTATATTAAACTTTTACTAATAAAAGATATGTAAAGATACAACATAACAAACATGACAAGTGAAGAAAACCATTTCAATGAAAGTCTGGAAGAAAACTTATCCTATTTTAAAACTACCGCAATTACACCTGTAAATTAGTTTCAATATCAGTAACAAAATGGCGACCATCTAAAATCATAGTGCCTATAAAGACATCAACTGTAATATATACAATAACAAACAGAAGCAACAAAACATCTCAAACATAACTTAACACTCTTCTGAAATTATCAGATGAAAATTACAAACCTTTTTTAATCAGGGATCCGGCGCACCTCTCGTTGACATTACTCGATTACTTTCGATTTTTCTCAGTCGCTTCTTTAACTTCTATATTTAGATCTTAGCACCACTGACGATTCCCGACAGGGCGAAACAGCCGTATGATGTAACATCACTGACGAGTCCCAACAGGGCGAAACAGCTGCATGATGCAGTTTAATTAATTGTTTGGCTCTGCTGTATCTAACTCTAAATTTGTACTGTAAAACCAATAGAATTTCCCCCTAGCCCTTCCAAAATTCTAAGAAAATTCTAAGGAAATGTAACAGATATTACCTAGAAACTATTTGTTTTGGAGTTGAAGTATAACCATACCATTAACTTAATTTCTGTTAAATTATTATTTTTCGTTGGGGATATATTTTCACTGATTTCATGAGAACTTTTAATCCACGAACTCGTATGTCCACTAACTGTAAAAGTGTTGAGGTTTGTGTAAATAGATCTATTAAGCAACATTTATCCACGAACCACCTGGCTACGATTTTTTTAAAAAATACATATAATAATAATGATTTGTTTTACTCTTCTTTTTTTATTTGTAAAATCGCGAAAATTGATCCCTCCGAAAATGTATGACTTTACAGTATTGGTTCTATTTACAAAGCACAATTTATGTACTGGATCAATATAATTGCAAAACACGCGTCGCCATGGGTTGAATCAATTTTTAACCATAATATAATATTGTAAAACAATATGTTCAAAAGACTAACTGAATGAAGAATGTAATTAGATATGGATGGAATGGATATCATTTACTAATTTCGATAGAAAGTTATATTTTGGATGCAGTTGTTCGTAAATGTATAATTGTAACTACGCTGTATTGATGCGTTCTTAAAATCAATTATTTATGTCATTATAGACACCACCTGTTAGCAATGTTATTCTATTCCAGAGTGGAGAGTTATCTGTGTAACCCAATACATGTATACAGCTTTAGTGAGGTTTCCGTACTTTATTGTGTGAAATGACATTCTACAACAATAAAAAGTAAACAGTAACCATGCATTGGTAGCAAAACAATCCTAACGATTTTGTTTTTGTTTATCAACAGGTCTTACTCAAAAGCCATTCTGTGGATCATTATGTATACGACAAGACTTTTTCAAACAAACACCAAAATTATAATGACGTTTCGGTACCACAACTGCGAAGGTCTTTCAGCACAGAAACTGATAACGCATCTTATAATCAGAAGCAGGATGGTGGCCAATCTGACAGTGACGTCATACCCCCAATTCCACCCGCTCCTGATATTTCGCACCTCACCGAAGAAGAACTCGACATACTCAAGCGAGTATTCCAGAGGGAAGAGATGTTCGAGCGGGACGAGGCAGAACGACTTATGTGAGTACTAGGCTTACTTTCTTAAAAATAAGATTACACATTTGAATGGTCACACTGACGACAAAGCTGCCGTCCTATGTAAATGATAAATTCAACATGTCAAAATTAGGCACTTTTATTACTGCTTGAAAACAGACCTACCATTACAACTGATGAAAACATTATCTTACTGTTGATCACCTGGTCACTTGACCAGATCGGTGACTGTCTTAATCGTCTCATTTGAAAGTCATCCACTGTACCAACCATTCATGATAGAAAAATTCACATATATATAAAAACAGAAACAACAGTACCTGACTGTACAACATACCAAAAACAATAGGACAAAAGCAAATATATTCAATTATAAACTCCCAAACACACAAATTCACTTACTACAAACACATTTATTTTATCATATCATCTGGTATCTCATCATACCTATAAACCATCTCATCCTATCGTCTGGTATATCATCATACCTATACCACTACATGACTGGATCATAGAGGCTGTGTTTATAGACCACTAGGTGACAGGATTATAGAGGCTGTGTTTATAGACCAGGATTATAGAGGCTGTGTTTATAGACCACTAGGTGACAGGATTATAGAGGCTGTGTTTATAGACCACTAGGTGACTGGATTATAGAGGCTGTGTTTATAGACCACTAGGTGACTGGATTATAGAGGCTGTGTTTATAGACCACTAGGTGACTGGATTATAGAGGCTGTGTTTATAGACCAGGATTATAGAGGCTGTGTTTATAGACCAGGATTATAGAGGCTGTGTTTATAGACCACTAGGTGACTGGATTATAGAGGCTGTGTTTATAGACCACTATGTGACTTGATTATAGAAGATGTGTTTATAGACCACTAGGTGACTGGATTATAGAGGCTGTGTTTATAGACCACTAGGTGACTGGATTATAGAGGCTGTGTTTATAGACCACTAGGTGACTGGATTATAGAGGCTGTGTTTATAGACCACTAGGTGCTGGATTATAGAGGCTGTGTTTATAGACCACTAGGTGACTGGATTATAGAGGCTGTGTTTATAGACCAGGATTATAAAGACTGTGTTTATAGACCACTAGGTGACTGGATTATAGAGGCTGTGTTAATAGACCACTAGGTGACTGGATTATAGAGGCTGTGTTTATAGACCACTAGGTGACTGGATTATAGAGGCTGTGTGACTGGATTATAGAGGCTGTGTTTATAGACCACTAGGTGACTGGATTATAGAGGCTGTGTTTATAGACCACTAGGTGACTGGATTATAGAGGCTGTGTTTATAGACCACTAGGTGACTGGATTATAGAGGCTGTGTTTATAGACCAGGATTATAGAGGCTGTGTTTATAGACCACTAGGTGACTGGATTATAGAGGCTGTGTTTATAGACCACTAGGTGACTGGATTATAGAGGCTGTGTTTATAGACCAGGATTATAGAGGCTGTGTTTATAGACCACTAGGTGACTGGATTATAGAGGCTGTGTTTATAGACCACTAGGTGACTGGATTATAGAGGCTGTGTTTATAGACCACTAGGTGCTGGATTATAGAGGCTGTGTTTATAGACCACTAGGTGACTGGATTATAGAGGCTGTGTTTATAGACCACTAGGTGACTGGATTATAGAGGCTGTGTTTATAGACCACTAGGTGACTGGATTATAGAGGCTGTGTTTATAGACCACTAGGTGACTGGATTATAGAGGCTGTGTTTATAGACCACTAGGTGACTGGATTATAGAGGCTGTGTTTATAGACCACTAGGTGACTGGATTATAGAGGCTGTGTTTATAGACCACTAGGTGACTGGATTATAGAGGCTGTGTTTATAGACCACTAGGTGACTGGATTATAGAGGCTGTGTTTATAGACCACTAGGTGACTGGATTATAGAGGCTGTGTTTATAGACCACTAGGTGACTGGATTATAGAGGCTGTGTTTATAGACCACTAGATGACTGAATTATAGAGGCTGTGTTTATAGACCACTAGGTGACTGGATTATAGAGGCTGTGTTTATAGACCAGGATTATAGAGGCTGTCTGGATTATAGAGGCTGTGTTTATAGACCACTAGGTGACTGGATTATAGAGGCTGTGTTTATAGACCACTAGGTGACAGGATTATAGAGGCTGTGTTTATAGACCACTAGGTGACTGGATTATAGAAGATGTGTCTATAGACCAGGATTATAAAGACTGTGTTTATAGACCACTAGGTGACAGGATTATAGAGGCTGTGTTTATAGACCACTAGGTGACTGGATTATAGAGGCTGTGTTTATAGACCACTAGGTGACTGGATTATAGAGGCTGTGTTTATAGACCACTAGGTGACTGGATTATAGAGGCTGTGTTTATAGACCACTAGGTGACTGGATTATAGAGGCTGTGTTTATAGACCACTGGATTATAGAGGCTGTGTTTATAGACCACTAGGTGACTGGATTATAGAGGCTGTGTTTATAGACCACTAGGTGACTGGATTATAGAGGCTGTGTTTATAGACCACTAGGTGACTGGATTATAGAGGCTGTGTTTATAGACCACTAGGTGACTGGATTATAGAGGCTGTGTTTATAGACCACTAGGTGACTGGATTATAGAGGCTGTGTTTATAGACCACTGGATTATAGAGGCTGTGTTTATAGACCACTAGGTGACTGGATTATAGAGGCTGTGTTTATAGACCACTAGGTGACTGGATTATAGAGGCTGTGTTTATAGACCACTAGATGACTGGATTATAGAGGCTGTGTTTATAGACCAGGATTATAAAGACTGTGTTTATAGACCAGGATTATAGAGGCTGTGTTTATAGACCACTGGGTGACTGGATTATAGAGGCTGTGTTTATAGACCACTAGGTGACTGGATTATAGAGGCTGTGTTTATACAGGATTATAGAGGCTGTGTTTATAGACCACTAGGTGACTGGATTATAGAGGCTGTGTTTATAGACCACTAGGTGACTGGATTATAGAGGCTGTGTTTATAGACCACTAGGTGACTGGATTATAGAGGCTGTGTTTATAGACCACTAGGTGACTGGATTATAGAGGCTGTGTTTATAGACCACTAGGTGACTGGATTATAGAGGCTGTGTTTATAGACCACTAGGTGACTGGATTATAGAGGCTGTGTTTATAGACCACTGGATTATAGAGGCTGTGTAGACTAGGTGACTGGATTATAGAGGCTGTGTTTATAGACCACTAGGTGACTGGATTATAGAGGCTGTGTTTATAGACCACTAGGTGACTGGATTATAGAGGCTGTGTTTATAGACCACTAGGTGACTGGATTATAGAGGCTGTGTTTATAGACCACTAGGTGACTGGATTATAGAGGCTGTGTTTATAGACCACTAGGTGACTGGATTATAGAGGCTGTGTTTATAGACCACTAGGTGACTGGATTATAGGATTATAGAGGCTGTGGACCACTAGGTGACTGGATTATAGAGGCTGTGTTTATAGACCACTAGGTGACTGGATTATAGAGGCTGTGTTTATAGACCACTAGTTGACTGGATTATAGAGGCTGTGTTTATAGACCACTAGGATTATAGAGGCTGTGACACTAGGTGACTGGATTATAGAGGCTGTGTTTATAGACCACTAGTTGAAAGGAAAAAAGAGTCAGAGAATATACAACACTAGGTTCTGGATTATAGAGGCTGTGTTTATAGACCACTAGGTGACTGGATTATAGAGGCTGTGTTTATAGACCACTAGGTGACTGGATTATAGAGGCTGTGTTTATAGACCACTAGGTGACTGGATTATAGAGGCTGTGTTTATAGACCACTAGGTGACTGGATTATAGAGGCTGTGTTTATAGACCACTATGTGACTGGATTATAGAGGCTGTGTTTATAGACCACTAGGTGACTGGATTATAGAGGCTGTGTTTATAGACCACTAGGTGACTGGATTATAGAGGCTGTGTTTATAGACCACTAGGTGACTGGATTATAGAGGCTGTGTTTATAGACCACTAGGTGACTGGATTATAGAGGCTGTGTTTATAGACCACTGGGTGACTGGATTATAGAGGCTGTGTTTATAGACCACTAGGTGACTGGATTATAGAGGCTGTGTTTATAGACCACTAGGTGACTGGATTATAGAGGCTGTGTTTATAGACCACTAGGTGACTGGATTATAGAGGCTGTGTTTATAGGCCACTAGGTGACTGGATTATAGAGGCTGTGTTTATAGACCACTAGGTGACTGGATTATAGAGGCTGTGTTTATAGACCACTAGGTGACTGGATTATAGAGGCTGTGTTTATAGACCACTAGGTGACTGGATTATATCTTACTGGATTATAGAGGCTGTGTTTATAGACCACTAGGTGACTGGATTATAGAGGCTGTGTTTATAGACCACTAGGTGACTGGATTGACTGGATTATAGAGGCTGTGTTTATAGACCACTAGGTGACTGGATTATAGAGGCTGTGTTTATGTGGTGACTGGATTATAGAGGCTGTGTTTATAGACCACTAGGTGACTGGATTATAGAGGCTGTGTTTATAGACCACTAGGTGACTGGATTATAGAGGCTGTGTTTATAGACCACTAGGTGACTGGATTATAGAGGCTGTGTTTATAGACCACTAGGTGACTGGATTATAGAGGCTGTGTTTATAGACCACTAGGTGACTGGATTATAGAGGCTGTGTTTATAGGCCACTAGGTGACTGAATTATAGAGGCTGTGTTTATAGACCACTAGGTGACTGGATTATAGAGGCTGTGTTTATAGACCACTAGGTGACTGGATTATAGAGGCTGTGTTTATAGACCACTAGGTGACTGGATTATAGAGGCTGTGTTTATAGACCACTAGGTGACTGTGGATTATAGAGGCTGTGTTTATAGACCACTAGGTGACTGGATTATAGACGTTGTGTTTATAGACCACTAGGTGACTGGATAATAGCGACTCCGGTTATTTGTCCATTACTTTATCTGCTATTGGGTGACTAATATAGTATCTTCTGTAGGGAAATAGAACGGCGACTTGAGAATTATGAACGTACTGTCCGGCAACAATCTAGTGGAAAGGGCAAGCTCAAGCATATCGACTTACGAGTCTGTCGTCTCTGCCACGAAACAAAGTTTGCGGATGGAATTGGCAGGGTGTGCCACGACTGTCGCCGGAGGGTGTGTATAAGATGTGGGTCTTATGACTCCCCTCACTGGAATCCCCGAAAACAGAAGGTAGGTACAGTTATATAGTGATATTTTTTCTAACTCAATGATACAGTGTAGTAAATATTTTCCAGAAGACCAAGATGTATTGAACATTCACAAATGTTTAATGTGTGTTTACTTTACAATAGTATTTTATGAAAACTCATAAAAGGAACATCCCTCCGTCCGATAATACCTTATAAACAGGACATCCATTCGTTCGAACATCAGACATACGTTACGCCATTTTTTCATTATTCAATATATCTTTAACATGATCATTCTGATACTCGTGTCTGACTGTGATGAAATAGATACGAAAGTGGACAGAAAAATAATGTATTATGTCCAGATACAGTCTTCACGTGTTGTCATTTGAATATTCTGTCAGTCATTCGTCGGCTTCATAATGATATCAGTTATTATCACAGTTCAATGCCCCTCCTGACACCCACGTTTGTCGTGTAAACAGAAGTTGAAATAAGGACACAGATTTAAACGACGGTAAAGACGTACACTATATCCTTATATATAGTGGTTAGAAAACAAATAAAAGTCTTCATGTCCTGAGGATTGTGAGTGTAACGTCTTGGGGAACTAATGTCAAGCAGAAGCAAAACAGAGGCATTATCAACAGATTGTTACTTTGTAGGTCGCTGAACAGAGCCCAATTCTTGCCATTCATCTAACTTGAGATGGATCAATTTGCCGTCTTCTACCTATCACCAGCTTTGCTAATGTCACTGACTAACCTGTTTATTTTATAATTAGATCCTTGACTCGCTCTGATTTCAGCGATCTATTGGGAAATTTCTTTCAACAAATCAGAAAACCGCCACCGTCAGACATTTGTTTCGTATTGATTAACTACAGCAGCTTGACCGCGTAAACACGCTGATGGAATTATTCTTCGTAGGTTTGGTCAAATTGAAAATTTCAAACATTTTGTCATTTAAGAACTTTAGGACTTCCACTGCCATATATAATTAATAACTTAGTGCTCTATGAAAACACACGTCTTTAATTTAGTTTTAATTGCACGATTTAAAATATTTTTTGATATAACACCATTTTCAGCTCTGCACAATTTTAACCTGACTTCAAGAAAGGAGATTTAAACTAATGATGCCAAAAATATGTACTCTGATAAGACTTACATAGACAATTTTAGACTAGTCCATTCTACGTTTAACCTTCAATATATTACACTGTACGTAAATTTAACCTATTGGACCTTAGTGATTTGTACCTGTTCGTGGGCGTCAAAATTTTCATATACAAAAGTAAGATTAGTAGTTCTTTTCCAGGGATACATGGGGAATGTCCTCGGAAAAATAACCCTTCCCAGGGAAACCGTTCTAGATGTATTCTAACACAGAGGGTCATAATCAAAATTGAACAAATAGATAATATGCAACATTTTTTTCTACACAATACACATCCAGTGTGGTGAAAATCTCTCAAGTGACCAACATTCTGCAGTACACAGACTCTTTTATCACCAGGCTTGTTCACACACGTTTCTGTTTTTGCTTACATTTCTGTGATCATCGACTAGTTCACCACCAAGTAGAGTGTAATGTTTGTTGTTGCAACAGAATATCACTTTAACTTCCGGTGCATTCGACTATGGAATTACGGGGTTCGCGAAGGATGTTTTTCCCGGGGTTATTTCCGTCGGGGATTATTTCCTCGGGGTTACTTTCCCCATGGTCCAGTTTCGGCGAAATGTCTCAGTTATATAATGTCACAAGGTAACATATCGTTCTAAATCAAAGTATAGATAAATCACATAATCTGCTGTATGCTATAAATATGGACAATGAGGTCACGCCATTAAAATTCAGTCAAAATGTAAATTTTCTAGGTTATGCTAGAAATCTTAAATTTCATTTTCATTCATATGAAATTTTATTAAACTCATCTCGGAGTTTTCTTTGTTCTCCCCGAAGCTCTCAAAACTTCTAAGACTCGTGTCATAAAATCTCATAGGAAACGAAAAATCATTTAAGACCCTATATTTATGTAATGCATATTATATCATAGATAAAGATATGTCATACTACTAGAAAACACATAAGTAATTTGTTTGAGTTTGTAATGAACAATTCCATCGGTGAAGAAAATATATTGTACCACTTGATGAATCCTTGTCCATTTCAAAAATGATAAAATTGTGTTAAAATGGAGTATCCTTGGCATAGTGAATTCTGATAACTGAATGGTTAAAACTCATCAGACTATGACAGTTTCTTGTTCGTAATTATAACACAATATTGATATTGGTAGTTGATCATCATATGTCGATATTGATTCTAGTTGACTATCATATGTCGATATTGTAGCTAGTTGATCATCATATGTCGATATTGATTCTAGTTGACTATCATATGTCGATATTGTAACTAGTTGATCATCATATGTCGATATTGATTCTAGTTGACTATCATATGTCGATATTGTAACTAGTTGATCATCATATGTCGATATTGATTCTAGTTGACTATCATATGTCGATATTGTAACTAGTTGATCATCATATGTCGAAATTGTAGCTAGTTGATCATCATATGTCGAAATTGTAGCTACCATCAAATCTCGAAATTTCGTTAGTTGCCTGTCGTATGACGATATTTTTGGTAAATGACTATAATGTGTTAATAATCTAGCCTAGTTGACTGTTTACAACCAGCAAATGTTGCCGAAAGGAGCCAGTGTTTAAGAATTGTTGGTGTTATCAATGATTCGGAATGTATACTTTTATCTATTACTCGATTCCTATTGAAAAGCGACATTACTTGCGAGTTTTTGTACAATCCTTTAATAGTTGTCTCAGTTTATGACAGAATTTATATTTCCCAGTAGTAACATAGAGACTTCCCCTAATCAATTCATTTGATAGCTCCACCTCTGAACCAGGCTCGCTCTCCACGTTGAAGTGATAAATCCAGGCGTCCGTCCACAAAGTACATTGACTGTGAAAAGGACAGTAAATAAAACGAACGCGAAGGCAACAGTAATTGTACGAACATTATCGAACCCAGATTAAAGTGCTGCATTTATGTCAATAAGAAACTGGATAATTATAACTGTACAAAAACAAATACAAGTCAATAGCGCATATCAATACACATTTAGATTTAGATACGATCAAGTTAAGTAATGAATTAAGCTGTATCACACATCTGTTTCATCTTTCTATGACTCGTCAGTAATGATTATGGCTAATTTTGTTGAAAACAAGGATGCGACTGAAAAATCAATTAACAAACATCAGTCAAATTACCTGTTTGAAAGAGGATGATTTTATCCCATAGTTATAACTATACAAGCGTATATCTAAGCATGCGTTCTCTTTGAGGAATCCACCAAATCAATCTCACATGAAGTACACAGGAAACCGGTCAAGTGACAGTCGTATAGGCTTTCTTATTAGAAGTCGAGCTAGCTGTACTTTTTATGGCCAGTTAACGATACAGTAGCGATGGTTAGCTTTTGTCTTCTACTCGGCAGTCTGGTTGAAATATAAGGACTGAAAAGATATAGTGTTATTGTGATGATTGATTGGGAGCTGTAAGAGTATATGCTGATATCTACGTGTTTATCTTTCCACACAGACTGTCAGAGGCAAGTGGAGGTGCAATATTTGTCAACTGAAACTTGAATTTATATGTCAAAGTGGGAAATGGTTTCATGGAGTCAGATCGCCCAAAATGGTGAACCAGATGATAAGAAACAAGATCCAATTCCTTGATTTAGATACATCGGATACGGACGTAAGTATGTTTTTTTTCTATTTCAGGGTCACGCAATTGTATTATCTTTTCAGCATAAACCCTGACCAATATTGGGTACGATATCGTTTCGACTTATCATTTTGAAATACGACCTTTTTGTTTAATTTTATTTTCAATTCATTATTTTTATTTATTTTTCTTTTAATTCTTGGGTCTGCGTTCAATTGTTGTTGGTATTTATGGCAGTTTTTGTATGATTGATTCTTATTTCACCAATGGACCTTACAATGGATTTATCTAGCATAATTAAGGAGGTTTTTTTTTTTTTTTTTTTGTTTGTTTGTTTTTTTTTTTTGGGGGGGGGGGGGGGTATAATTCAGAGCAGGACATTATCTAAACTCATCAACCTGCATCTCTCGAAAGTTATGAGTTTGGCTGTCAGTTGCCGGCATCTTAAACATAATATTGGGAAAAGGCCAATGAATATCGAATCAACTGCGACATATGAACACCATGAGTGATATGCAAAAATGTTGCTATCCTTAAATGGAAAATTCACAAGAAAAGATCGAGATAAGCGACTGCTGTAACAGATTCGGTTGTGTCATTGATTTCCAACTTCGGGTTGGTGTACCCGATGAACATGCGCAGAAATCTGTTGTTATTTAAAGACAAGATGTTATCAACAATATATCTGAGATCAAACTGAAGGACATTGCAAGGTCCTTGTGATCTGCTTCATAACCTCTTCGATTATCTCAGCGTCGTATGAAAACAAAAACAAGTCAGCTAACAGGGGGGTACAGTTGGTTCCCAACTGTATACCAATAACCTGTTGAAAACCTTACCACCAAAGTTGACCACAAGTTATTGTCCACCAGAAACCCGATCATTGTATGATGTCATCTTTTGTAAATTTCTTATTTTATTTAGGAATATTTTTTAAGAAATACGTTTCAGTAAAGTTCACAACATATACATATTTGTACCGCCGTTTGCATGTTCTGTAAAAGAAAGTCCTCATTTCAAGAGAACGAAGGCGTTCTCTCGGTTTCGAATAGGGTATGGTGATACAGAGTGGAAAAATCAAACATTCTTATGGAATTTTTTTTTTAGGGGGGGGGTTAAAGATTGGTTAAAAGTTCTTTGAAATTCTTTTAAATCTTCATACTAATGCCTCCTATTCTCGGGTAGACAATAAACTATTAAGATTGTATCCCAGAAGAAATGGTAGTGCTTAAGAATGGCAGTAAGAAATTAGGGTAAATGTTTGGCTGAACAGCTAGACATGCCAGCAATAAAACGTTGTTTATATGGATTCTTATGAAGTTTGGGAATCCTATATGAAAGGATGAGAATACATACACTCAACACGTGTCCCTATAGTAGTGATACCACAGTTTCCTACGGTAATATGTATGTATGTGTTATTGCACGGTTTGCCAATAACAGGGGTTTTATTACACCCGAGCGATAGCGAGTGACGAGATATCATGAAATAACTGATGACTGCATACTTTTCACTTCAAACAGAAAGTAATTGAACATTCACACTGTCAGCCCCCGCACTTGAACTGTTCATTGTTTTCTGTATAATTTACCTGTGCTTGAAAAAGTGAGTATTTATCCCCATAAACCTCAGCATATTTCAGGAACAAGGGAATACAGCTAATGGAGATTACACACTTCTGTAAGAAGAGAATGGTGTTTTAATTTCACGTGATGCTGAAATTTTAAAATCTTGATGGCAACCGAGTGAAACATGTGAAATTCTAGGACGTGTAATGACATAGTAAACCATATAATAAAAATTTATCCGTACATCTATGTTATTGACTTGATAATTACGGACTAATCAATTATCTGTGTTAACTGTGGTAGCAGGTGATTTATTACCCACACTTAACTGTTAGAGGTGTAAAGTATGTAGTAAACACAATACATACACTCATCACAAAGCCTTAAAGTAGCGATACTAGCCGAAGACATGATATTATCACATAGCACTAGAGTAGTGAAAGCAGCAGAAGATAGCTACTTATCACATACCCCTCCCTTCAAACGTGATACTAACACACGACATATACTTATCATAAATTCCTACTGTGGTGATACAAGCAGACGATATACACTTATCATATACTTCATTTTAACAGTAATACCAGCAGACGATATACACTTATCATATACTTCATTTCAACAGTAATACCAGCAGACGATATACACTTATCATATACTTCATTTCAACAGTAATACCAGCAGACGATATACACTTATCATATACTTCATTTCAACAGTAATACCAGCAGACGATATACACTTATCATATACTTCATTTCAACAGTAATACCAGCAGACGATATACACTTATCATATACTTCATTTCAACAGTAATACCAGCAGACGATATACACTTATCATATACTTTATTTCAACAGTAATACCAGCAGACGACATACACCTATTACAAATCGTTTTAGTAGTGATACCAGCAAACAGTAAACACTTTTCACAAATTCCTTCAAAAGTGATATTAGCAGACGACATATAGTCATCACAAATTGATAAAAAGATATTTCGAGTAAACTATTTTCATTTTGTATTGATATTTTCATGCATCAGGATTATAATATCAAGTTACCACAGATAGTATAAATACTCTCTCCCTCCCTTCCTCAACACTTCCGGAACCACTTTCTAATATCACCCGCTCCTGTATTACCCCCGTAGGAAAACAGCTACATACAAAAGCCTTATGTACGATAGTGCACGCGCAAGTCGACGTCTGAGGCGACGTCACCAGGTGGCAGATTCTGTCGGAGATAGTATCAGAAGAAGATGATACAGTTACGTGGATATTAATTGGGGCCATCTCTGTAGCTAATTTATAGACTGTGTATATTGCTGCATGTGATGACGGTGTGTACACGATCGATCTATTGATTTGAGTTGTTTAGGGGACGTTGTCACTGAAACCGGCAGATTACTGAGACAGGAGCCTAAGAGAATCTATGGTCTGATACATCTGTATCTGACTCCAGCTCAACAGCCCACGACATTTCAGTGATATCTATATTTGATATTATATACAGGTATGAGTTGCATGGAAGTCTTCACAAGTCGCAGTCATACATTATATCCTTATTAACATACATTATGTCTTGTAATATTCGAGAAAAGATATAGATAGATTATCAATAAAACACTTAACTTCATTATTGGTTCCAAATATCCGAAATCATTTTCTTTCTTAATGCAAAAAATGACTTGTTTTGAAAGGTTTTGATTTTTGCATTTATTTGTGTTTTAAATGATATATCATGTCAGACAAAACATTTGGAAGACGTCGTTATAGATTATTAATGAGCGAATCATTTTGTCTAAAACAGTATTTAAAGATTCGCATTGACCCTGTCGAACGTTATTTGACACAGAATATATATTCATTTCACTCTCTTAACTGTTTCTTTTAAGCATTAATATCATCTGATTTGAAATAGAGATGTTTTATGGTTGTACAAAAGATACAGAAGTAGACAGCACTTCTCGATACAAGTTTAGAGTCGGATACGATAGAGCCAGTGGGATGGACTAGAAGACTATGTGGGATCTAAACTTGTCAAAGTAGATTTCAAAAGCCAGAGAAGGAGGGGCGTGGACCTCAAATTCAATAAATTTCTCAATTTTTAGTATTACCTCTACCTCTACCTGTTATACATTTATATGCGGTTATTTTCATTTAACTAATTAGTAGGTAATAATTCCATGTATAACTATAACCATGTGATTTTTGTGATTAATCAATTGTCTTGAAAATGTGGATGAAATCAATGAATAAGTTCGTTTTTCTTATATGTTTATGGGAGGTAAGCAGGTGCGTGAATTTTTATATTTACTAAATATTTAATTTCGATCGCGTTCCTTAAAAACAGATTTCGTTATAAATGACACAATTACATTTATCATGAAAGAAGTTTAATATTTGTATTTAAAATTGATTGCTATGTTGACCTAAAGAAAGTGATATTCCGACTGTACTTTGTTCCAACCAATCGAACTACATGTAGTATCTTGTGTGAAATAAAAGACAACTTACTACAATGTTATGTACAAGCATTGTCAATCATGTTTATATTCATTGACAGTGAGATGGCGGGTAGCAGTAAAACACTACGTGTGCCGAACTCTTTTGGTAGATACAATTTAACGAATCATATTTATCCTGCAACCGGTGCTTCCATTGTCGGAACACACCTGCCTCATTTCCGTTTGGAAATATGAAGAGTTGTTAAAATAAGGGATTTTTTTACATGTTGTAAGGAACAAGTTCGTTTGAGAAAATTCGTAAAATCGCTGTTATACCCGATGAAGTTTGGAACTATGCTTCCATGCCGAGCAATTCTTTTGGCGTCCGTCATCAGGCAAAATTCAGAGTAACGTCAACGTCAGGTAAACACAGATAAAACACTTTCGAAGTCGCCTCTTTTGTTTTTCTTTACCCTCACCAAAATAGCTTATATCTTAAGACATTGACCATGAATTCATGACATCTAAATTGCTCCTTAAGACATTGATGTCCTTGAAGGAGGAAAAAACTGTTGTTAATGGTTCGGGTTATAATCGACTAAAATAACTTAATCGTTTTCTTATCGATACTATTAAAACATTGGTATCGCTTCTAGTACAATTTTTCGAACATTTCGACATGTCACAATTCTTGAATTATTTATGCAGTTTAAGGCCTAATTAAGACGACAAATTATGTTTATCTCCCAATATTTTACCTGTAATGTGACAGCGTTACAGATATCCTACCTTATATACAAAATCCCAGGACGAAAGTAATTTCCATCCACATACTGACAGACACTGTTAGGTTACTATCCACGAGAAGGATGTAAATGCGACGTCAAAACAAAATGTACGATTTGTAGCGAAATATTAAAGTAATGTTGCTGGAGAAGAGGATGAGCTGCGCAGTTGGTAGTATCTAGACAATTGTTCAAGAGATGCAGTACCATCACTATGGGAATTTCACTTTAGAGAAGAGCTGGTCCCAGGATCTAATGATTGTGTTCTTTTATGTCGAACGCCCTTTGACGAGATTCTTTTACGATCTCATTATTGAGTTTTTTAAATGTCAAACGCCCTTACAACGAAGTGCTCTCACGATCCCATGATTGAGTTTTTTATATGTCGAACGCCTTTACGAGGTGTTCTCTCGATCAAATGATTGTGTTTTTTTATGTCGAACGCCCTTTGACGAGATTCTTTTACGATCTCATTATTGAGTTTTTTAAATGTCAAACGCCCTTACAACGAAGTGCTCTCACGATCCCATGATTGAGTTTTTTATATGTCGAACGCCATTTGACGATGTGTTCTCTCGATCAAATGATTGTGTTTTTTATGTCGAACGCCCTTTGACGAGATTCTTTTACGATCTCATTATTGAGTTTTTTAAATGTCAAACGCCCTTACAACGAAGTGCTCTCACGATCCCATGATTGAGTTTTTTATATGTCGAACGCCTTTACGAGGTGTTCTCTCTTTCTCATGATTCTGTTTTTATGTCGAACGTCATTTGACGAGGTGTTCTCACGATCTCATCTTTGTGTTGTTTTTTTCATATAACGCCCTTTCAAGTAGGTGTTCACATGATCACATAATTGTGTAGAATTTCTATGTCTGTCACATCTCAATGCGATACTAGGACGATGTCAATATTATCAATACAAATGTATGCTACACAAAAGTCAAACGCCTTACAGCAAATTTCTTTTGACTCATTAGAGTGAACTACAATCGTACTTGTAACCTATATTTACTTGTATTGTAGTGTTAATCTGAAATATATTATTGTGAACAGCCGAACCTATAATATGGTGCATAGATGTTTTAAATGACAGCTGTTGAAACTATAATTTCATCTGCCTTATTCAAACAACTGCTAGTACTAGGATTTCTGCGGTTTCATTTTGATGGCACCGCAGATATGATTTAAACCTATGGCTGTAGAAATCAATATGATACCAACTGCTGTCCATTTCGTATATAAAAATAATATTGGAAAGATTATGTGACAGATTCGATATTAATTCTATATAATAAAACACGAAACATCATTTACAAATATCTTTCTGTTTTCCTTCTCTTTGTGAAATATGAACTATGCAATTTCTCCCAGACTAGGTATGGTCTCATAATAACGACGCTAGACCGTTGTAATATCGAATTACATTTTGTCTGAGTGATGTGACGAGAGGCACTACAGTAGCCACGTCTAGGGAGAGCTAACATGAAGTGGTCAGGTTATATACATAATTTGTCATTGTCCGTCCTATTACAATTTTCTACTTAATTTGGTCAAACTAATCACCGGGCAGAAAATCACTTATTCATAGAAGACGTATTTAATACAGAGATGGAGAAAATTGCCGGATTTCACGTTGTCATGTGAATTATGATTGATAAATTGGGTCGTGAGAGGACTGTCACTACCAGTGACCGCTCATACAAGCGCCGGCCTGTGCCGTGTTTTCAGACGTTTTGTAGATATACATATAACCTGTCTGAGATATAGTACTTGGCTTTACTATCGATTTGGATTTCATTGATTACAGATTATGTACAACGTTATCCTCATTTGCCGTTTTCTCCTCGAGCAGCCATCACTCGTTGCTTTGTCACACTTCTTGTATGCAGGCATAATGGAGTTTTCTACAACATTATAACTTGCCCTGACGCGGCCTCATTTTACTGATCAAACAATCATGTAAACACATTTCTCTTATCTTATATTACAGAATCAGACAAGTGTGGATTCTTCGTCCTGTTTTTCTGCATCAGAACAATGCACTGACCAGGAACTGCGTGGAATTAACAAGACTGTTCCTATGAGTGGAAGTGGCACTAAAAATATGCAAAACCGGAACAGGCGACGGAGTGGTACACTTTTACTACGTTCTTCACCATCCGACAACGATAGTGAGTCAGATGATTCTGCGGAACGAACACGAACGCACGTTATGCAAAAACGTGCTCAACGCCGTAATAGTTCACGGCGGAAGTCTCTTAAACAACGACAGCTATTAACGGAAGTATCTGATCAGGATAATATATACAATGGTGATTTAACTTCCGGTTATGTTGTTAATGGCGGGAATATCAGTCCACGTGGTCAGCTTCATTCTATGCAACGTCTAAGTGTGGCGAGTGACCGCAGTGAAAGTGTTAGACGTCATTCTGACGAATCCGTCCGAAGTGGATCGGTGTCTGTGTATTTCAAACCTGATGATTTACAGACGGACCCAACACCGTCTAGAAAGGGAAGCAACTCACAGTCAAATTCTAACAACTGTTGTTTCACACCTTTACAAACTGGTCTACCTCGTACCTCGTGGGGCTACAGTCTTCAGCCACCACAAAGTCCTCCACTTATTACTTCCACTCATCGTAAATCTATGCCAGGATTGAGTCCCAGGCCCTCTCCTAACTCTTTGACTGTAGGTGACAGAAAGAGTCCAAATGAGCGCAGGCGTCACTCCCATAATATTTCCAAATCAGGTGTTCTTGGGTTCAAATCAGATCGGAAGCGATTCTCTCTGGATCACCAATCATCGGGACACAAAGTAAAACAAACGTATCTTATGCCACCGGAAAGTCCCGCCTCGCGATGTAGAAGGTGGTCGTCAGATTCTGGCTCTTCCCGAAGATCCTCCGGTAACAATGAGAGTACAGACTGGAACGAAGATATCAAGGGACAAGGTAAGGTTTAGAGCGGTGAGCACCGAGTAGAACAACGATACACTTTATATACAGGAAATTTACATTCAACCTATGTTTTCTGTTCCACGCAAACTTTAATCATACGAATTTGAATTATACATATAAATATTTTGATTCCAGAATAGACGATTTAAGTAAACCATTCAACCTTACTGAATGACCTATGTGATTTATGGGAGGAGAATTAATGTTTTATTTGAGATCGATGTTAAGAAATGTGTGACATACGTACATTACAGTAATACTTTATTTCCGGGCTTGTTGGCTTAATCTTCCTAATTTCTGAACTCATATAAGTTATACCACGAATCGTGGAATTATTTCATCCCTTGATTATCTAAGATACCTAGCACTTGACTTAAACAAATAACAAATAATAAAAATAATTACAGCAAACCAATTAAACGACAATTTAAAAAGATGTTGATGTTCTGTAAAATTAAAGTTGACAGAAACTTTGTGAAAGAAGTGAGTGTAAAATAACACAGCCTATCCTGGTTGATGATTTAGTACTTCGTGTGTCGTCTCCTGAGAAACTATAGTCTATCTAATAGTGAAAATCGATACTGTTGAATGGTTGATAAGTGGACATAACGGCTGTTGCATTGTTTATAATGAAAGGTTGATAGCGGCCGTGAAATGATACCAGTGATTTTTACCTCCTGTTAGGATAAAGCTTTCAAGTTTACACCCAGTTGGTAGTCAACGATGATGTAATTACGGGTAGTTATCATCAGTTATCAACAAGATATAAGGCATGAACAGAGTGTTTACTAACAACGTGACATCACATATACAGAATACTGACAACTAGATATCATAAAAACAAAATACTGACAACTAGATATCATACATACAGAATACTGACAACTATATATAACACTTACAGAATACTGACAACTAGATGTCACACCAACAGAATACTGACAACTAGATATCACACATACAGAATACTGACAACTAGATATCACACATACAGAATACTGATAACTATATATCACACAAACAGAATACTGACAACTAGATATCACACATACAGAATACTGACAACTAGATATCACACATACAGAATACTGACAACTAGATATAACACATACAGAATACTGACAACTAGATGTCACACCAACAGAATACTGACAACTAGATATCACACATACAGAATACTGATAACTATATATCACACAAACAGAATACTGACAACTAGATATAACACTTACAGAATACTGACAACTAGATATAACACTTACAGAATACTGACAACTAGATATCACACATACAGAATACTGACAACTAGATATCATACATACAGAATATTGACTACTAGATATCATACATACAGAATACTGACAACTAGATATCACACATACAGAATACTGACATTAGATATCACACATACAGAATACTGACAACTAGATATCACACATACAGAATACTGACGACTAGATATCACACATACAGAATACTGACAACTAGATATCACACATACAGAATACTGACGACTAGATATCACACATACAGAATACTGACGACTAGATATCACACATACAGAATACTGACAACTAGATATCATACATACAGAATATTGACCACTAGATATCACACATACAGAATACTGACAACTAGATATCACACATACAGAATACTTACAACTAGATATCACACATACAGAATACTGACAACTAGATATCACACATACAGAATACTGACGACTAGATATCACACATACAGAATACTGACAACTAGATATCACACATACAGAATACTGACGACTAGATATCACACATACAGAATACTGACAACTAGATATCATACATACAGAATATTGACAACTAGACGTCACAAATACAGAATACTGACAACTAGATATCACACATACAGAATACTGACAACTATATATAACACATACAGAATACTGACAACTAGATATCACACATACAGAATATTGACAACTAGATATCATACATACAGAATATTGACAACTAGATATCACACATACAGAATACGGACAACTAGATATCACACATACAGAATACTTACAACTAGATATCACACATACAGAATACTGACAACTAGATATCATACATACAGAATATTGACTACTAGATATCACACATACAGAATACTGACAACTAGATATCACACATACAGAATACTGACAACTAGATATCATACATACAGAATATTGACTACTAGTATTTACATGTATTTGTCCCTTTCTCCCAGTTATAAATGTTCAGTTTTGGAACATATTCGTAAACAAAATGTCCCACAGGCGGCCATCTATGATGTTGGGAGTTAAAGATTGTACAAAAGGCAAACAAGTAAATAGTAACATTTGATAAGATATGTATTAAACAGCACCATACAGACTTCTCGGTAATTCTAAGGGCCTAACTGTTAAACCTAAGACGCCACTGACTGAAAATCCAATTAGACTTTCCTTCTGATCGAGTTGTGAAAGGTCGACAGGGGGCCATCTTGGAGTTTGACCGTTAATGATGCTATTTCTTTAGAAAATATAGCTGCATTGTCTTGAAATTGTGTATCTAATTTCGCATTGACCTCTCGTATGCATGTTAGATTTTGGAACTGATTGGGAAAAATGACAGTATAAGTTTGTTATTGCTATTTCTTGAGGATACGACCAACATTTGTCAAGTTTCATAATGTCGGTTCCCTTTGGTCCAACACCCAATTGTGTGACTGATAAAACAAAATGGCTGACCAGGGAAAATAAGAGGACATGAGAAGAAAGAAAGTATCCATCTGATACAGAAAGAAGAAAGGCCATACATGGCGATCCTCAGGGATACCTATTTACACCTTTATATCTCACTTAACATGGTACAAACGACAAATTATCACAGCCCTGTTGTCACATACAGGCTCTTCTATCTGTTTCTAGTTATTCTCTGTTATCGTGTGTAACAGTGTAACCAACCGAGGCCTTGTATATGAATCAGTAAAATAAATATTTTTGGATTACAAATTAAACCCAAAGAATCCATTTTGTCACCATTGTGCCTGTTTGACTTGATGTGGTCCAGCATATGTCACTGAGTAAACTCTGGATCAATACATTGTACGACCGTACAGATTCTGTCGCCAAGGAGAACTGGAGAATCCCTATAAGGTTGTGTGCTACTTCGTCTCTAACTGATCTGATCAGGTTACATATCAACAAACTACAAGAGTAATACAAACAAAAACCTTAAGCTATTTAGATGTCGTTCTATCTAAACCTTTCCATGCAAACACTATTTGACATTTCCTCCATGAAGTATTTCTGATATATCAACTCGGTTTGGTTTTAGTAGAATACATATCAGTGTTATCTACCATGGAAACACAGAGTGACCTGAAGAAATAACTGTTGTTATGGAAGACTGTGATGATAGTGTCTGGGTTCATTTTGGGTTCGCTTTTGATTTTCCTTCCCACGTGATACCGTTACCGATATACGCGTGTGTCGTCGATCCTTCTGTATTGAATAATTGTATTAACGTTCACATCGGAAAGGAAAAACGTTAGGTCGGCTTGAATTATCGTGTTCTGTTTTGGTTTTAACACCACCTATACATAACAGAACGAAAGTTTAAGTCAATAGACATTCCAGGCATTCAGTTGTTTTGTAAATGTGTGTAACATCTGGTGCAAAGAAACCCTGTTGCTGTCTGCGTTTATTTTGTTTTCTAGGAGGAAGACACAACCATCCCTGTTTTATTAATTGATATCACGGGATTCCTTTCTATTTTCATCAATCAAAGATAGATGTCGAGTATTTGTAGTCCGCCATCCTCGGATCGTCGGTTCTTTTTAAAAACCACATGCCAATATACTTACACTATTATTGTTATCGTTGTTTATAGATGAGTGTCTTTCCCTGATTCATCTGTAGATTCCACTAACTTGGCACAACTATAGACTAAGTGATGCCTAAAGACTAAAGGGAAAATAGAGAAAATGACCGACAAGCAGCTAGCTTTTATCATGACAAAGTTTTGTATTAAAAGCCGTATCAGTTGGAAATTAGATCGTTATCAGCTCATACAATTTTATTGTTTATTGAACCTAACAGACAGGCAGCCATCTTTTGCCTTTGACTCCTTGCAACAATTATGATATATCACTGTTCGTCAGACATTACTTGAGTGATTCTTAAATTAAATATGTATGACTCCATTCGCCTATCAATACAAAACAAAACGATGACAACAAGAGTAAAGAGATTAGATTAAAAATGATAAACATAGATAAAAACCAACATAAATAACTTATTGTTTCAAACATCTAGGACCTCTTGTCACGAAAAGGTTCTACAAGAATGTCTTCGGGTCATTTATGCTGTACACAGCCTCAGATGACTTGGTTGTTCTGAGTTTGACTGAAACGAAACATAATCATTGTTAATATAACTGCTGTTGGACCTATCTTTTTATATTAAAAACAATTAGTTTTAATCGAAGCTAGTGCAACAGGCTTGTAGGCCTATTTTCCACTGACAGAAAAATGTGATTTGTACTACTGACAAAAACAAGATGACAACTTTCAACGGAATAATGAATGGACTTGGTGCTACATATCGTTTTAATGAAATTGTAAGTGTACAATGACTGACTGTATGAAAAATGGCCACAAAACAAGTAGATAACATTCATTCTATATTTTAAAGCATGATTAAAAATACATTATGAAAAAAATATTAACACACGATCATCCTTAATGATATATATAAGATCCATTGTTTTATTAAACAAATGTAGTTTAATATGATAATTATTTTACATAACAGTTGTGCCTAATAATTCTTCGCTAGTTTTGAAAACAATCTCATTTGGTTGTAGATTTGGGTGTCTAATTCTTTATTTACACAGAAATACATTATTCAAGCAAACAAAATAACTTGTCCAAATATTAAAACTTCTTCATATTTAGCCAAAACAACTTTTCCTGTCTCAATTTACGTCACTAATTGATATTAATTAATCTCTATAATAACGGAATTATCGATTTTCTTTCTATCATCCTCACATCTGAGGATTCCAAACTCATCTCCTGTCAGGTTTGTTTTACTGTTGTACAAATATTGGTCATTGATTAGAGCAATATATTACACATTCCTTTATTCTCAGACAAGATGTAATGAAGTGAAAACGATTTTTTTTAATTTTTATTCACACGGTATTTTGGTGTTAATCTAGAAAACTACATCTTTACTATTGTATCGTGATAATTACTTATCTGTTTGATAATTAAAAAGGTTGAATTTTCATCTTTAGTAGTAAAACATAACACAGTATCATGTTGTAATTCTATGAATACAATAAGAATTGTAAACCTTCTCTGTATGTCAGCAAGGTTTTTTTCTAATGCCATGTACCCTAAGCTTTGCTTTTTCTACAAATGATCGGTATGATTTCAAAGTGATACTGAATACTGATGACAACGGTCGTGTTTGATACTAAACGAAGTATCACTGGATCAATAGGTAAATATCACCCGTTTATGAAATGCACTGACTCTAACGTAAAGATATAACATATAAATTAACATAACAAACATACCTGTTTGTGGTCCCCAGTGGAGAGTAGTCCTGATGCTGAGGATGTTAATTGCACTTCACGTGAACGGAACAATACTGTTATGTGTTGAAGGGTTAACAAAAATAGTAGCTCTAACAAAATCTATTGCTTCTCTTAATTAATTTTGTTTACTTGCAGATTATCTGTCCTCTTTAAAAACAAGAGATGTATTGCTCTACCGAGACAAGAACGACCAGAATTGTCGGTGTAAGTAGAGTTTTCTTACTGATTCTTCAACGTGAATTAATCAGGAATGTTTAACATGTCAGAACTAGGTCACTGTTCAACATATCAGTCCTATGCTGCTGTTAAATCTAAATCTATTCATCAAAAGGTTAACAAGTCAATATTATGAAATTCTTACATAATAAAAGTATGGAGAATGATTAAGGAGAAGTATGTTGTTGTTACATCGTTCATATGTCACATGCGATGATAAGATGTTAACACGATAATCGCTTGTAATCGATTAATGATTAACATGTGAAACACATGTATTGAAGAATGGTTAACACACTCAGTTAACAAGTGAATTACGTATTACTACTTCGCGGCTAACATGTGAATCACATGCTATTTTTGCGTGGTCAACATGGGAATCACATGTTATTTTTGTGTGGTCAACATGGGAATCAGATTATATTATTGCGTGGTCAACATGTGAATCGCATGCTATTTTTGCGTGGTCAACATTTGAATCACTTGTTATTTTTGCGTGGTCGACATGGGAACCAGATTATATTATCGCGTAGTCAACATGTGAATCACATGCTATTTTTGCGTGGTCAACATATCACATGTTAATTTAGCGTCGTCAACATGTGAATCACATGTTAATTTAGCGTGGTCAACATGTGAATCACATGTTATTTTTGCGTGGTCAACATGTGAATTACATGTTATTTGAACATGGTTAGCATACCTAGCTAGCAAGTGAATCACGTTAGTTTGGCATTGTTAACATATCGATAACATATTGTTGCATGGTTAGCATGTGAATAACATATCATTGATCCGTGGTTTACATGTGAATCACATTTTATTGTTCCATGGCTGAATATGTGAATCATATTTCACTGTTAGATGATAAAAATATGAATCGTGTTTTGGTGACACATTAAAATGTTATTTGTTTCGTATGTTATATCATATATGAATAGTGTATTGTATGGTTAACATAAATGGCAAATAGGTTAAAATTAAGCTTTTGGAAAGCGGTGAGTTATGTTGAGTAAATATAATAAGTGTACACATCATCTAGCAGCCTTCCTTTCACTAAAGAGCTATTGCACACCTGTTATAACGATATACATTAGGAACAATCCTAATAAATGATAGCATCTTTAGGGACACGCGACACGATTATCAATGAGACGGCTGTGTCTATATTTGGTCATACGTTTGTTTTAATGATTACAAATTTCCTGTTCCTTCTTCAGATGTTATTGTAGTGACTCCAGTGGCGCTCTGGCTATTCAGTAGTGTTACACTTGTCATCACGTTCCAACTCTAGACCGGTAGTATCACAGGAAGTCAAAATAGTGAAACAAGCTATCGCAAATAACTTGAGGCAAATAGTTCAATCCAATATCCTGTTGTCATGGGTACGACTTAGACTTCCCTATTGAAATTAAATACAGCACGAGTCTCCAAATCCAAAGACAAGTATTATGTCTAAAAGCATAGCGTTTCCAGTTCTGTATCTAACATTTGTATTCCCATAGCTGTAACAATTTATTATAAGCTATCATGGTCTTCCTTTGTGTTTCAAACGTGTGACGGGGTCGTATATAAACCGTACATTAACTTTCCTTTCTCCTTTGGAGTTAATTTCGCTGTTCCTTCAATCAGATGCTTTCTTCAGGTTATATCGTATAACCTTATCAAATTAACGCCTGAAAGGTTATGACGTCATATATAACAAAGCTGTTTTTACGTAAATCGTTTCAGAGTGTTTTTGGTTAACAAAAAATGGTTCTTATTCTCTCAGAGATAACTGAATTTGTTTGGATATTTATTTTCAAAAAGAGCGCAGTAACCTACACTAGTCAAAAGAAGGAAAGGCTGGTGTGTAAATGAACACTAAATATGGACGCCTTACTCTTTGGGCTAATTCTAAAGCGTGATATACTTCGCACAGTGTATTTTCTGATCATAATTTATTTTTCGTAAAAGATTAAACATAAGCTACAAACAACAGTAATTACAGGGTTACTGGTACAAATAACAGCGCTTACGGGTGAAAAAAAACAGCAGATAAAAGTACAAATAACAGCGCTTACGGGTGAAAAAAAAAACAGCAGATAAAAGTACAAATAGAGTGATTATTGGTTCAGATGAAATAAGTTACTGTTACAGATAACAGTAGTTACTGATACAGATAACAGTAGTTACTGATACGGATAACAGTAGTTACTGATACGGATAACAGTAGTTACTGATACGGATAACAGTAGTTACTGATACGGATAACAGTAGTTACTGATACGGATAACAGTAGTTACTGATACGGATAACAGTAGTACTGACACAGATAACAGTAGTTACTGATACGGATAACAGTAGTTACTGATACGGATAACAGTAGTTACTGATACGGATAACAGTAGTTACTGATACGGATAACAGTAGTTACTGATACGGATAACAGTAGTTACTGATACGGATAACAGTAGTTACTGATACGGATAACAGTAGTTACTGATACAGATAACAGTAGTACTGACACAGATAACAGTAGTACTGACACAGATAACAGTAGTTACTGATACGGATAACAGTAGTTACTGATACGGATAACAGTAGTTACTGATACGGATAACAGTAGTACTGACACAGATAACAGTAGTTACTGATACGGATAACAGTAGTTACTGATACGGATAACAGTAGTTACTGATACGGATAACATTAGTTACTGTTACAGATAACAGTAGTACTGACACAGATAACAGTAGTTACTGATACGGATAACAGTAGTTACTGATACGGATAACAGTAGTTACTGGCACAGATAACACTAGTTACTGACACAGATAACTGTAGTTACTGACACAGATAACACTAGTTACTGATACAGATAACAGCAGTTACTGGCACAGATAACAGTAGTTACTGACACAGATAACAGTAGTTACTGACACAGATAACTGTAGTTACTGACACAGATAACAGTAGTTACTGACACAGATAACAGTAGTTACTGATACGGATAACAGTAGTACTGACACAGATAACTGTAGTTACTGATACGGATAACAGTAGTTACTGATACGGATCACAGTAGTTACTGATACGGATCACAGTAGTTACTGACACAGATAACAGTAGTACTGACACAGATAACACTAGTTACTGACACAGACAACATTAGTTACTGATACGGATAACACTAGTTACTGACACAGACAACAGTAGTTACTGGCACAGATAACACTAGTTACTGACACGGATAACACTAGTTACTGACACAGATAACATTAGTTACTGACACAGATAACACTAGTTACTGACACAGACAACATTAGTTACTGACACGGATAACACTAGTTACTGACACAGACAACAGTAGTTACTGGCACAGATAACAGTAGTTACTGACACGGATAACACTAGTTACTGACACAGATAACAGTAGTTACTGACACAGATAACTGTAGTTACTGACACGGATAACACTAGTTACTGATACAGATAACAGTAGTTACTGCCACAGATAACAGTAGTTACTGGCACAGATAACAGTAATTACTGACACAGATAACACTAGTTACTGATACAGATAACAGCAGTTACTGGCACAGATAACAGTAGTTACTGACACAGATAACAGTAGTTACTGACACGGATAACACTAGTTACTGATACGGATAACAGTAGTTACTGGCACAGATAACAGTAGTTACTGACACAGATAACAGTAGTTACTGACACAGATAACTGTAGTTACTGACACGGATAACAGTAGTTACTGACACAGATAACAGTAGTTACTGACACAGATAACTGTAGTTACTGACACGGATAACACTAGTTACTGATACAGATAACAGTAGTTACTGGCACAGATAACAGTAGTTACTGACACAGATAACTGTAGTTACTGACACAGATAACACTAGTTACTGATACAGATAACAGCAGTTACTGGCACAGATAACAGTAGTTACTGGCACAGATAACACTAGTTACTGACACAGATAACAGTAGTTACTGATACAGATAACTGTAGTTACTGACACGGATAACACTAGTTACTGATACAGATAACAGTAGTTACTGGCACAGATAACAGTAGTTTCTGGTAAAATATAGCACCACTTACAGGTACAAAATAGCTGTAGATACCGGTACAATCTGAGGGGAAACACGAAGTGCGATAGAATGTTCTCAAGAAGGAGAACATTTATGATCAAACAGCAAATATGCATTAGAATAGCTGAAGTACTCGATAAAATAGGAACATTAACTTTCTACAGGTAATGGTTTAGGCATGCGTGTTGTTGGAGGCCAATGTCGGTATGGCAACAGTCTTGGCGCCTTTGTTACATATATAGACAATGATGGACCAGCTGACTCCTACGGTATCCAGGAAGGTTAGTTCTATAACATGTGACACTAAAAGCATCAATATCATATATACATATATATATAGATCTTGTCTTCTATTACACTCCCGCAACGAAATTGTGCCCAAATATACATATATACAAAAACAGTTATTATTCACAAGTTTTCTCCAAAATTCCACATTGCAATAAAACATATGGAAAAATATGTATGATAAACCATGAACAATTTCAAACATGATAAGCTTGTGTCAGAATTATCGAAAACTTGTTTGTTATCATTGTATCTTAAGATATTCGTCCTCATTTTTTGCGATGACTGATTTCCATTACATTTGCTAGTATGTAAAATTTCAGTTAATAAACTTCTGGTAGCTACGATGGAAGATCTGAAATGAGTGTCGTCGATGCAATATCGGATTTATAAAACGAGATCGATAATTGGATGACACGACTGACATATAAAAGAAAGTTTGATTAATACCAAATTACATCGGCACGAATGTAAGATTTTATTTACAATGTAATCCATATTTAAGGAAAATTAGCAAAAACTCTCAAATTAATTTCTCGATACGTTTTTCATTACCGACACAAGCATGTTACGTCATCGTGACCTGACGTAATTACGACGTCACAATAGTTTTATCAAACATGTGTTGCACGATATTTATGACCTGGCCGTATGACATAACACAACAGGCCAGTTATATGATAGTTAACAGTAAAATGTCTGGCGTTACTGATTGACATGTGTTTCGATTTTGACGTTGCTAGGAGACCAAGTGCTGATGTGGAATGGTAAATCCCTATTGGACACGACATTCGAGGAGACTAAGAAGATCGTCAATCAGTCTTCAGAAATCGTCCAGTTGGTAGTTGTCCACCATGAAGAGAAGTAAGATGGTCTGAGTATACAACACTACTTTGTTGATCTGTAATAGCTTCGATTCCAAAATATTTTTGAAGGAATACAAATACTAATAATGCACTGGTTTATGTTCTATATAGACCCGATAAGGTCCTGCAACTTAAAGCTATTGAATTTATTTTCTATATTTTTTTTCTTATATAAAGATATCGGTATTTCAATGTTTTTGCAGTGTTTTGATGTGGCATATGAAAATTGTATAAACAGGCAAACAAGTGAATAGCACTTTTCAATACAAATTTAGAATAGATACTGTAGAGTCGTATAATGAATTTAACTTCACCATACAGCTGTTTTGTCTGGGACTCTCACTGATGCTAAGGGCCTCAGGGAAATATGGTCCACAGTTTACCCTTGGCCCTTTGAATCGAATGCTCAAATTCTATTCATTACTGAATTAACGTTCAAGCAATACCGCATCAATTAAACTATTTATACCTGTTCCTTGAATATTTACTATTTATTAAATGTGTTTGAAAGACACATTGCTTCTGTGGTAATGACGAATTCACTGGTCGGCAGGGGCGTGGAGGGGGAGAGCAGAGGAGAAGAGTGGAATTGGATTAAAAACAATGAACTCAAAACCATTGTAAACGATATCGTTAATTACAATAACATATCTCTCTACTGTTCATTCCTAAGGACAAGAATTACCTAAAATTATGATAATAAATAAGGAGGCAGAAACATAATACAGGAATACCTTTCATAGATGCGCTAGTGCCAAACAGTGTTGGAGCTGGAATCGTCTATCAGACAACACCAAATTTATCGCATTCTGTAATTAATCATTCGCTCCGTCATGTATGAAATAGCGCGATTTTCTAGGTTATCACGGCACAGGCTCATTTATCGGTGAATGAAATAACAATGAAAATGTTATCTGGCTAATGGCAGTGATTTAGAGGCTTTATAACAGAGTTCTAGGATAACCCATTAATGTCAAATAAGCTTGTGTTTTCTTTCCGGCTTAGCGTCTCTTTATCCACAAAGCCCGGAATCAGGTGACAGGTTTGTTGGTAATTGTTGTTTGAAGCTGAAGTCGTCGTATGCCTGAACTATCGATCTATCACCAGCCTACTTCAATCCTTACTACCGTTTTGACACTCCAATACTTGTGTTTTGGTAGTGAATGGTGTTTAAGAATAACACGATATGCAATGCAGGTGAATTCGGAGACAATTAATTACTATCCTGTGGGGCAAACTGTCATAATAGAAGTGGGCGCACTTGATATCGAAGTCTTGACAACTCCACTGCCGCGAGAGGTTTGTTCTTAAATAGGATATAAACAATCGTGTTTCTAAATCAAAAAAACATCAAGATGTCATTTTCCAGTGTTAGAAAGAACGAAACGCCACCGGTCCCTTATAATTGAGAATCTGATCATAATTCTATTCAAATATCGATTTCTAGTTTCAGAATGAGTTTTAAAAAAACAAACGGAAAAAAAAAATCGGTCACACAAAGTAAGTCAGTCTCGTCCAGGAAGAGACAAGACTTAATTGATGATACATTTATTGTTTCTCCTTATGTGAAAAGAGATACTCTAATTATTGTATAGCGATGAAGTTTATTCTATTTTAGCTACAGAGTCAATAATATAAATTCCAAGCTTCATCACCAGCCATGTTGACAAGTGGTCTGCCTAGGCAATTATCAGCTTTTAAAAGCCAGCGTTTGTGTTGCTGAATGTATACAAGCGAATGTATACTTAGGAAATATTTAACTTGAGGATTCGATATCTTAATTATTTTTATTTCATCTCACTTCGATTCCTGTTTTAACTAATTTGTGTATTGTATCTCCACTCTAGGTATGATACAGAAACAACCTGTAGCACTAACAAATATCATTGTTCAATAAGTCTCATTATTTGCTGAACCAATGTAATTGGAATCTGTACAGGTAGCATTGTGTCAAATTAGAATCATTTTACTACAAGACTGTAACATAATCTTATTGAACATGTCTTTAGAACCATAAAGCAAATCACCTAAATCGGCTTTAAAATGGAAAGCGAACATTTCCCATATGTTTCATTCATTGACTACTTCATTTATTTTTATTCTTGCTCTTCTTCTTTACTATTTAATTGTTGTGGTGGCGGATCTGATTTTGATTGTCAATTTGTACAGGCATAGCTTCCTCATTAATAGTTTTAACATTGGGATAGATTATGTGACAGTTTTGTACGGTTTTGTTGCTGTCTGTTGGCAAGGTAACGATCGAGAAATTCATTATCAAGATTTCATTTCGTCATCGCTAAGAAGACATAGAAACATTTCATTTGAGCTTTTACACCACATGCCATTCCATATGAACTATGATACCATTCCTTATATATCTCATGAAATAGTTTACTAATTTTAATTGATGTTGAATTTTCTTTTCGAAAAACATCTTCACATAGTTGTATGTGGAACACAGGAATCCACAATGAAACAAGAAATTCCAGATGAAAGAATTAATGGAGTTTTTAGTAAATTATGTAAATGGGGAAAATTCATGATAAACGTTTATGTCTGTGTTAAATCTTTAAACAGAACTTCTCCTGAAAATAATTTCAAATATTTAAAAAAAAAAAGTTATTATAATGATGAATACGCATGAAGTCTTATAAGTGTAACCTCACATACACGTAAGTACTTGAATCTCATAATATTTTATTCTTTACACAACATAAAGATTGGATTTTTTTTTCGTTGAAACGTTTATAAGGTAACATAAAGCTATGATAAACGACGAGAGATCATTCCCTACCTCCACCACTTTTGGAGGGGAAAACGGGGAAGAGATGGGGTCGTAACTCTGACAAATGTACTCGTCCTTCATTTACCATACACGAATCTTGATTTCATTGCCAAACTGATTTCATCCTGTGTTAGCATGATTAATGATATTACATGATAGGTGGAAATGTACAACACCTTCCGTAACATTGATCTATTTACAAATAATTTTAAATAAAAGCAATACTAGCTATATTGGTGAAGCCAATTTGATATATGCATATTTGTGCAGCTACCTAATTGCTCTTGATCCGGTTTCCTTGCAATAACAATAACTGACCAATTTTAGCCATTTATCAGATATTATTTACACCCGTGGATACATTGTTGTCCTGAAATAGATTAGATACACATTCGATATGTTTGTTGCTTGAATAGAATTTTATTAACTTTATGGTCATCTCTCAGCACTGCTAATAACCAACATGTCAACCTAATCATAATCCAAATTCCAATTCAATAAAATCAGGCCTAACTATGAACAAACGAAACTCGTGAAAACAAATTAAACCGACTCCAAGGTGGGGTTGAGGAATTGGTTATATTTTTCTATTTTTTGTTTCTAAAAGAAGAAAACAAAAATAAAAACTAGAAAAGGAAACAGATACCGTATGTTTGTCTGTAGAATACGCTGCTCATCGTTAATGATAATAATTGTATGGTATTCTGTGGTTGAAAACCTTGTTCTGGATTGTACTTGTAATTGCTAGGGATGTTGCTGTAAGCTTGCTTCATTAACGCCTACATGGCTGATTAACACTATTACCATCCAATCAATACAGTATATAGACATTTTCATAATTCTTTTTCTCCATAATTCATTTTCTTGCCTTTAACGCTATCAAATTATCTCCGTACTTTGATCCGGCCTGGTCATTAGGTTGCTACTCGGAACAAAATGTTGAAAATATTCGTAATGATTCTGTTTTTCATCTGATAGTCGCCCTATTTAGGCCCTTAACATTCCTAACAAGTGCTAAAAGGACGAAAGAATTTAATTCATTATTTGGCTGTATTTTTATTATTATTTAATGAACAAATATTTTTTATCATTATCTATTTTTGTATCTCTCTAATTTTGTATTAAAAGGTGTCATTACTTGTGTGTCTTTTTTATATTTGTTGCAAATGTTTCTGTTCGTATTTGGTAAAAGTTGGTTTTACTGTTATGCTATGGATCCGAAATGTTATAATGTCAGATATCATAATATCCCGTTTTTTCGTCATGTGCCGATTTTTCCGCATAACTTGTTATATAAATAGAGTATTTACGATGCTGTTGATTTTGCCAAAGGTTTAAAACATCGATATAGTTAATTCCTTTGCCTGGATAGGAAGGTTATGAGTACCTATGGTATGAAAGGTAGATTCAGTGGCTGTAAGAAGCCGATTGCGCTGATGCGCGAGACGAATAAACCTGCTCTGACGTTTTGACGTCACCCGCGGACGCCCAGACCTAGGTCTGTCAGCAACCCGCCCGATTTCCCTTAGACGCATAACAAGCCGTTCTAAAGTGCAAATATGGCCACCGAAATGTCTGGCAACCTGTATATGCCTTTGACCTTGCATAATCATCGCAATGGCCTGAGCCCTGTGATCTTCCGTCACCCATGCCATTGTTTAATGCTATCAGAAATTAATCAAAATATTGGAAAATAATGTGTCTCAATGAAGACTACCTAATGGTATGACGAGCAGTGTAACTCTATGTCAGAACACTGCGGTATACAAGATTTTCTCGTTTTGTGCTTTCCCACGAAGACATCGTCACTCAATACAATAATGCAACATTCGATACAGGACCACGTTCCCTGTAACTTAGAAAGTTGCTTGACCGATTTTCATTGTTTTTATCAACTTGTTCGCATGATATTGCAAATAATGTCATCCTTCGTTTCTTTATCCCTTGAGTATATTTCAGCTGTATGATGCCGTTTAATTTACAATTTAGTACTAATTTTCTTATTCTAAATTTGCATTAAAAATTGCTACTTACCTGTGTAGGGTCTGACATCTCCTATGAAGTTTGAAGGGTTACATGATATCCCGGTTATTACAATAACTCTAATAGGGCTTCACCGTATTTCACGTTGTGATGTTATTTTTACAGTTATGGTGTGGTGGATATAACAGAAACAGCAGACGACACAGAACAAGGTGAGACCTCGTGAGATCTAAGATAGATTTTCGTCCCTAATCAGCAATATTTTATTAAGATATATAAAATGGTTATCCAAATCTAACAAATAATAAAAATAACTATCCAACACTTCATAAAGTAATTATACAAATTATGGAAATGCGCAACATTACACTTTATCCCAATACCTTACTCTACTTAATGAATTCTTTTGATTATAAGCATGGCTTTAGGTTCATATGTATTAACTCTCTTGTGAAACAGTTTATTTTTTTGATTTGTTATAAACATACTTTCATCGTGGTATATGCCAAGTCCTCTTAATTGAATTATCGTTTGTTGAAACATCCATTTGTGATTTTATTGTAACGCTGGTGTCGTTTACAGAGGGCAGTCCTTCTATCGTCCAACCTATACCCTTGCCACCGTCAGTGTTGACATTAAACAAACCCAAACGACGGATGTTACCAAAAACACCGGTAAGTTATTCTGTCAAACTTTTGGGCTTTTTTTTCCAAATAAAGCGTTTATTTCCCAAACATAGCTTTTTTTTTTTTTTTTTTTATTCAGTGATAAACAAACAGATACAGAAATATCCTCTCGCAGGAGGGCTCACATTCTTCACTCGCCTTTCACATAACCATTCATCCTAAATACATGTAGCTGTATTCTGACATATAGCTATTTGTTTACAGTAGATAAATTAGATATCACATTCATTCCAACAAAGAATTTCGATTTGTTTATAAGTATATAAACATATTAAAATATTAAGACAATAAAAAGACGTATTAAGTATTCATAACTATTTGTTGTATGCGCGTCGCTTGAGTCGAACGCGCCCACGATTATTCCATGCACTAGTATAGGCGCCAACGGTACTTTTGGGCTTATATTCCACTTTGAAGACGCAATTACAGTTACTAAGTTAACGATTGATTCCATTGATCAGGTAAGCTACATATTATACAGTCCTATAGTACACATTGATATTCCAGTGCTATCAGAGTTTTTTGTGAATTATTGATAGTTCATCACTGGGAAGGAAACAAGATACCATCAATATTTTGTATTTTAGGGAACGATAAACCTCGTTTAAAAGGCTCAGTTTTTACTGTTTTGCATTTTCTTCTCTGTCTGGCATGAATCTGATAGCTTCACTATTATTATATTGAAATTGATCCTTATATTAATGCCGGTATTTAGATTGAAATGAAGAAAGACGAACGTTTGGTGAGTGGAAAACTACAGATGAGCGTGGCATACTCTGAGGGTGAAGAGTGTCTGTCAGTAACCCTTGTAAAGGCAGATGACCTTCGACCACCTGGACAGCTTGAAGTGTCCATCATTAATCCAATAGCTTTAGTTAATCTTCTCCCTGGCAGGGGGTAAGTTCACCTTAACTTTGTGTATATCTTTTTTTTTTGAAATTTTATAAAGCGTCGTCGATGACATGTAATGTATGTTTGAAATATTTTATAATGTTAATACTTAAAATATTGCATTTTCTATGACAATCTAATTTAAGTCTCAAGAATATGAAGAGTGTTTGGACATAAAAATTATTCCACTTCCTTCTCTCTCAGTTACTATCCACCATACGAAACTATACCACAGTTTAATACGTCATCACCTCGTTGGAATGAAACATTCAACATACTTGAGATCAGCGCCTCTGAGGTAAAATATTTAAGAATTTTGCTAAAATTATCAATTGCAGTTATTTGATTGGGTTAGTTTGTTAATTTGTTTATCGACAAGTGAGAACATAGATATTGTAGTAGTTGTTGACGGTTTTAACCAGGATTTTCATTAACAATATGTTTTTATCCTCATCATTCATTCGTAATAACAAAAACTTATTAAACTCCGCCGATACTCTTGTTAATATCTCTACTTTGAAGATTTTCAGGTATCTTTGATGATTTTATCAAAACGGAAAAAACAAACATAGTCGAATACTGATTTCAGAAAATGTATGTTGCCTTATGCATATCAATGCTAAGCATTCTTTATCGAATGAGTATATTCCAAATTTCTTGTTTAGGTAAACGACAAATCTATCGAGATAACGCTATGGAATCAACAACATGCAGAAGACATGTTCCTAGGGGAAGTACTCTTAGATCTCGTGGATGCCAACACAAAAGACGAAATAATCACTTACGATCTTGAGGATCACGATGAGAACAGTTCACCCCTCCCACACAGACGCAGAAAAGAATCTTGTTCTGACGCCACTACGACCAGTCAAATTAGTCCTATGACGCCAACGATCGATACATCCAGTAATTGGTCGACTAGCCCGAGTCGTTTGTCCATTCAAAATTTGAGTACTGAAGGAAGACCGACAAACGAAGACAGAAATTCTTGGTCTTCCCCATCACATAATAGACATTCATGTTAGTAGAATTTTTCGTACTATTTTGTTTCATTGGCATGACATTTTAGTGTTTTTTCTTGGTTTCAAATTGTCATTTTTTAATTAGTATTTTATATAGCACCGACATAATTTTGAAACTTTTGCAAATTACACATATAGATTATGTTCATAACTTTTTTTTCATTTTTCCCGTTTAAGTGGTTTAAAATACGTGGTCAATGTCCTCAAACATATTTTAATGTGTTGACATATTGAGATTTTCCTTAGTTCCATCTTTCTAAGAAAATAATGTATTCAAATTTGAAAGATATATAGCAACTTAATTATTCGAGAACTACGGAAAGATGTTCCCTAGCAAAAACGTCCGAAAAAAGGAAAAGTTTTCAACTGAAAGGACTTATTAGACTTAGTAACAGGTCGTAGTAAGGAAGGTGGTACAGATCACCTTTCAGTGATTTTTAATGTGTTTATGTATAGGAAAACGATATAAGTATACCATTGCCCTTTTATCTTCACTAAATTCATTCCCAACATAAATACCGTTACCGGGGAATAATGATGAAAAAATTAACATTTTACCTTCAAAATGTCTAATTCTCTGTGAAATTCTATACCATCTTTCATAAAAGTTTTATGCAGTTTCATTAACTAGCTTGGTTTGTATTGGATAAATCATTTGAAAGCGGGGTCTCCTTGGAAAGTAGATTACAGGTTGGTATGTCTATTTCACTTTCTTTAGCAACAGGTGGTCCAGATATGGCATGAGAAGCAAAACACATTAACAGTATGGGTATACTCTTATATTACTTGTACGGAATTACATACAAATAGTCTCTATGATAAACAGTAAATTTTATTTTATTTTATCATTAAATAGCAATACTTTAGTAATAATTACCTTTCGAATAAGCCGATAGCTTCAATATTGTACACAGGATGATTTCCAGTTTCAGACATTTATGAAAAACAAAAGTACTGTGAAAATGTCATAAGTTGTTCATGGGCAGATCAACGGCAGACGTACTTATAACATTTTCATTGATATTAGTTTCAGACCCTGATCAGAATAACCTTAGATTATATTGTGAAAAAAGCTTAGTGATTGATAGCATTTCCAGTGATTTGTATTACTGCATTAGGATAATCCAAATACTGTTAACAAGTGACTACCGAATTAAGTGTATCCTGAAAGTTTGTGTCATACCTTTAATGTCATCATCCATCGCGATAAGTTAAAAAATATATATTAAAAATCCACAATATACATAAATACGTGCATAACATCCGGGATGGGCAGACCAGTTTAAAACTTATATAATACTTTGTATATGTCTTTCTACTCAACAGGCAAGCATAGAATAAATTGAATGGCCATTTTATAAAGGAATAGAGCTGAAATACAAAAACGTTTTACTGTATACAAAAAATAGAAAACAAATAAAAAGAGAAATCCTGAACGTTTTATCTGGTCAGTATTGTATTCCGGTATCGATTGACAGATTCGTCAATTTTGCAAGTTGTGATAAACTTACTTGAACTTGGTTTGCTTCTGTTATTTCCATTTTTGTCAGGCCTGCCTTATAAATGCCTTCGACAGATGGTGCCCCCAATGACTTTTAACCGTGATTTATCCAATACATAAAGACTTTTAATAAATCCACGAGTTTAACACACAAACAGAGATTTGCATGGTTTTTTTTTATTTTTAAATGTATACATTTTAATTTGTCCTGGTTTTGTTTTTCGTTTTCTTCTGTTTACCTACATATTTATACGTGAATTTTTCTATTTCATGTGATGATACAGGTTCACACCAATGTTTCTGTTTTCATCTGAATCTTTTTCATGCTTCAGCTATACAACTGAACTTAAGTGAATCTTTATATGACTATTTTCAAATTCACGTATACACAATATAAGTGTTCATATGTAAAATATAGACGATGTGCTACATAAATATGTTATCATTTCAGCAATTCGCTAAATCGGTCTAAGAGGATCATCAGAAACAATTTGATAATGCTTACAAAACCCATATTTGATTGAGATAAGCCCCTATACACGTGATATTATTCCTGATCATGTACTGTGATACTTCATCGAATACACCAGACAGCAGATTCCGAACAAAAGTGAATCATGAATTAAAATCTTCCTGATTTAACGAAGTATATGTTCTCCTCACGGACTAAAGATATGTAAACAATGTCCAGGAACAAAATTATACTTTACTGTTTTCATAGGTATCATTTTTTCAGTACCTCGAAGTGGCAGTTTCAGCGCAAAGATGAAACGGAAGCTAGCAGTGGCTGTGTCAAAAATGTCTTCAACGTTTACAAGCGGCGAGCGACGGCTAAGTCTGCGTATGTAAATGTGTCATTTTTAGTTGATACTATGTATGTATTCGGAAGTATTCAGAGAATACCAGAGCATTGGGATTAAAGAGGGATAATCTCACTCAGATGATATCGAACTCTGTCCTTGCTTTGTGCTGAAAAATCGATAGATGAAGATTAAAAGAGAGATAAAAGATCTCATTAATGTATATTTACTCAGGTAATCACATGACATGACATTTTGGTGAATATTTGCATAAAATTACCACACGTAATTAAAAGAGCACCTAGCTCTCACTGGGCGAACATGACACAGGCTTATCATTTTGTAGTATACGAGGAAAACATGTGTTATGTTATCTAGTTTGTGTCTCTGTATTTTGACTCATTAGTAGATTCTATCATAACGTCACAGTTGATGTCATTTTCGATCTCAGTTTTTGTCATAACATTATTATTATTAAATTAATTATTTTTCCAATATTTTAAGATACCTTAAAAGTCCTACCAGTGGAATATCACTTGTATTTAGGTCCCGATGTAATACAAAGCACAGTGATGACACCTCTGTGTGAAGGCCACCTGGCGTGAATGTCACTAGTATTTAATGTGCGATATGATACCAGTCAATATGTATAAAGGGCAGCTGTGTATGAATTTCGTTTTTTTCAAGGTAGAATGGAGGCTATGGAATCGAACTTCTATATAAAGACCACCTGTGTACGATTTCATTTTTGTCCTGGTAGAATAAGGGTTATGGAATTGAACCTCTATATAAAAGTCACCTATGTATGAATTCTTTTTTGTCTTGATAGAATGGGGGCTATTGAATCGAACCTCTATATAAAGGCCACCTGTGTATGAATTTCATTTTTGTCCTGGTATAATGGGGGCTATGGAATTGAATCTCTATGTAAAGACCACATGTGTATGAATGTCACATGTGTAAATCAGCATCATTTTCTGGAAATTAATATAGTATATGCTGCCAACATAGAAATCTGGGTGCATACAAATATAAGTTCATTATATTTTTGTCATTATGAACTATCATAAAAAACACCAAATATTTGGTCTGTTGAAGTGTCTGTGTCGTAATTGAACCCCATATAGGAAAGTCTCAAGTTGCCTCAATGTTTGCTTTTCACGACATCAACACGTCAGAGACAAAACTACATAATGGCCACATGTGTCCAAAGCTCCATGATATATTATTTTTTGAGTGTTTATATGGGTCTGACTTTTGCAGTGTAAGTATTCATACTGTAGCATGATATTAGATTGTCTGTATTGCATTTTACAGAGGACGAAAAGGCAACCAATATGAGCCACAGCGCTGACGCGATGTTGGGGTATATAGCGCCACCTATTGCCATTTCACCGAGACACTCGACCGACCAATACAAAGGTAGAAAGACGGAAAACATACACATACTCATTTTATCACTCTTCAATCAATTTTGCCGGTTCGTAATATTTTGGCCGAGCACGAGAGTGACACAGCTACAAAATAATATACAACATTTGAGTTAGTGTCTTGATTTGACGTATGTGTAGAGTTTTCATTATTATCTTCCCAAACTAGAGGCTTTTATTCCATTATTCAACCATCTGGCTACATATTTTAGAGGGTTGTAAAAAGCTCTCCTTGCTGCGCCAAAGTAAGGATAACATACCCTTTATGCCGGATAACGCTGCGTCCTTTAAGGGCTAGTTAGTGGTGCCAGGTAACTAACTCAAATGATCACAAAATTTGCACAGTAAAATTTGTGGTCATTTCGAAGTCCGAGACTAAAGTTAAAGTCCGTCGTTTCACAAGTTATTTCATTGGTGACTCGTTTTGCATCAAAGGAGGGTATCAGTACAAAGAGAATAAAACCAGGTTTCCGCCAGACTAGGTGTATTTCACTTCAAACCGTGACTACATTATCCTAGCATAAGATTAGGAGCAATAGCTAATCATAATTGCTGACAGAACATTTAGGTGTTTACTGTTCGTTATTTCAAATTATTGTCCAAGATATCGTCAGTTATTGTTACCTTGTAAGTTGATTTTTTTTGTTTTTTCAGGGCCTCTTTTAGACATAGGTAATAACAGTCGGTCATACACATGTAGTGAAACAGGAGCAAGCATATACGATGACAATTCAGATTTGGACGAAATGGGCAAAAGGTAAATTGATATATAAATAACAACAATTAGGTCTTTGTATTTTTGTTTTTGTTTTTAAAAACGAAATGAGGTATTCTCATTTTTCATCTGTTCGGTCTTTCAGATTTGGATCCACCTCCCCAGACGGAGACGATATAACTTCAATGCTCGGTCCGGCCCAAGTACCGCCTAAGCCTGCTTCAGGTTAGATCATCTGAAACTGTGACAGTGTCTTTTCCAAACTAGAAAAGTATTTAAATCAACCGACTTCTATGAATCAAAACCAAACAACGGTTTGTCATACAATATCAGCTGTAGTCTATCCTGGAAGTCTTAGATCAGTTATGTTAAATACACAGTAGTACAAAATACAGATGTTCTGGTTATCTTCTCTTTGAATCAAATGGTTAAGATAATGAATCATACAGCTGCTTCGCAGTGATACTGAAAGTTTAAATTTTGAAACCTAGGATGCGACTTAGGGAAATAAAAATTGGTAAAAATAACTATCATAAATCAAACTCTAAGTACGTTATTATTTTCGTACGTTGAATGATTTCAGAAGAACGTCAAGTACTAGGTTATATTCTGAACCGTGTTCTAATGTTGCTTGCAGTTAACGGTAAAAATGGAAACCAAAATGAAACCTTGCTCATAACAAATTTTGTTTTTGGTTACCATGAATTAAGTTTGAGCAATCAAATGCACATTTTCTAAAACGGTAAACTTGTAGTCGTCCTTCTGCGTGGTGCTGTACAGATAATATTATCAAGAAGCAAATCAACGACGTTCTGCCTAATCTGAATGTATTTTCCAGAACAATCAGTGTGTGGTGATATTCGACTCGGCCTGATGGTGACCCAGGGTAAACTGGAGATCGACATTATCTGTGTGACAGGACTTCTCAGAGACAGTGAGAATGCACCTCCAGGTAAGTTTACTTCTCTCTAACGAAGTAGATCGCACGTGGATTTACCATGTAACTGGTCGAGTACAGTTATGTACTATTTATTTTATCAGATCACATGCTTAAAGTGGATATATCTTGATACTTTGTGGAATCAGATTTTCCATTTCACTTCGTTTTATGTACCTTGTTGCGGTATATATGTTTTGATTTTCTTATGAAAGTTATTGCACATTTGAGTTATGCACCTCCTTATCTTTTTTTCAATTATATTTATATTCGTTTTGACCGATTAGGATGTTCCTTAGTTGTCTCCCTGGGTTTAGTATAAATTATAAACTGAATCATTCAGCAATGTCGTCCATCTGATTGCCGGCATTATGAACTTAGATAGTCGGGTACATTCTTTAACATTTCAAAAATGTTAAGAAAACTGGTAGATTCAATTAGGCTTAAAATATCATTATAATGATGTATTGATTATACTTATTCGTATGGTTATACTTATTTGGACCAAGATTTACAAGGCCGGAGTCGTCCAAGAAGCAGAAGACGCTTGCCCTTCCATAACACCGGGTCTTTTTCTCCTTGTATCTTTTTTCTCCGTATATATATATGTTCATGTTTTGCCATTGTTTTTATTATTGGATGTGTGTGTTATTATTTTTACGTTTACATGCTGGTATTTTCTTGTTAAAATGTCTATAAATATATATATATTTTGTCCTGTCAGATACGTATGTGAAGACATACTTGGTTGAAGGACCCAAAGTCATCCAAAAGAAGAAAACACCGACGAGTAAAGCGTCGTATGAGCCCTCGTTTAATAGAAAAATTAAATATTCTGCTTGTAACATCCATGGCAGGCACATAAAGGTAAAAAATTATAATTCACCCCAACATGTAAAGTCTTAGCGTTATATTTTAATAAAAATATGAATATCAGAACAAGAAAGCACCGTTTTTTGTTTTTTACATGTTTTCAGTATTTTCGTAGCTCCCAAAGATTTTCAGCTGAAAAAATTCAAATGAATGAAACCAGGTCTCTAGGTTATATACTCAACTACCAACCATGAACGTATTTATTTGATGTCGGTTCTTAGAGATTTTTTCCTGTATTGGTGTTAATAATACACATGCACACCATCAAGTATATCAATTAACATAAATGTGAACTATTAATGAGAAATCACATCAGCTAATGTAAATATCCTAGTAAATATTTCAATTAAAATATGGTTTTTATTTTATTTTCACACCATCGTCATTTGTTCAATGTTGTTAACATAGGCATCAAAATAACTCGTTAAGATTGCTTATCCATTATGAACATTGAAACAATTTTATTTCTTGATTAAATAGGTGAAGATCTGGGCAAGACAAGGTGCTTTTGACAAGAAGTTGTGTCTCGGTGAAACTGTTATAAAGTTGGATGGACTTGACTTAAGTCAACATACACACACGCTTAGTTGGTACAAGCTGTTTCCTCAGGGTGCTACGGACTTCAGTTCTAACGAATCTCTTAGTTTTTGATCGGATTTGCCAATTTTTTTTTTATTTTCTTTTAATCTGTTATATTTTTCATTGCCTACGACTGACAGTGTGTTCGTGAATGCGGATGGTTGTCTATTGACTAAGAAACGTCTCTTCAAAGCATTTACCTGCTCGTATAATACTTCAGATGACGTTATTAAACATAATGCTTTGAAGGTGCTCGACTTGTGATACTAACAAAAAAGATACCATTGTTTTATTTTCTTACATAAGCTCAATTATTCAGATATATGTAGTTTTCTAGCACTTGACATAAAAAGTTAATTTGCATTTGTTTTTGTCTGTGTTGATGAAATACTGAACGTGCTCAGCTGTAAACAATATTCCAATTGAACTGATATATTTTTTCATAAGGCTTGAAAAGTCAATTTCCTTTAAATCAAGATTTGTTTCAATATAGAAATAGACGGTTAAATATGAATGCTTAACATTTCAAATAATACTTTCAAAGTCATAATACATTAACTCGGATATTCACGTTGGTTCGAATCAGCCCAGTATATCATGGGAAACGTTGATGTTCTGTTACTAAATCAAGTGTGGGTTATTGTAACAGTACACTTACACAAATTGTTTAACAATTGCAAAATAAAATGTAGGTGCTCTGACAAAGCACCTGTAGCTGGTAATTATCACGGGATAAAGTTAAAATATCATTCCCGCAAAAGTGACCGGTTATACGGTCGGAGGGTTGATTGGTAAGTTGTGAGTCTCATATCTTGACTTTTGGCGGACATGCTGCATTATTTTTCAACACAATCCCCTTTATTATATATACGCGTTTGTCATCTATATTTAACGGCCTCAATGCCCCTTTTAAAGTAATCCTTTTTGTTGCCGTTCTGAAAGTCCTCCATTGCATGTATGACGTAATCATCTGACTTTTGTGAAAGTCACTTTCCTTGTTAACTTTAGAGTGCTACCTCTTCGGCATAAACCAAATGACACCAGTCTTCGGGCTTACAGCATTTAAAGGTCAGGGAATAGTAGAGCTGAAAAAGCTCATCCCTAACTACCTTCTATAATACAAGGCTCACAACTTATCAATCATCCCTGGTCACTGTTTTTCCTGCCGGACTTCAATACCGTCCTTGTTAAGGTTGGTAGTAAAATCTGTTTGTTGGAACGGAGAGAAATGAGAGCTTTTTTTACTACGAAAGAAAAAGTATGTCATCACTACGCATTGTATGCGTTAATTTCATTATGATTAAAACTACATTTGAAAATAATGATAAATCTTGCTCAATAGATACAGTGTTTTATTGTATTGAACAAAGATACGCACATACCTATATATTACAATTATTTTCAGCGGACAGGTGCTAAATCTGTATAACTGGTAATTGGACGCGATGGAACCTGTAACGCTGGTCGTCAAGGTTTCCATTCCTATCAGGGTCCAGGTGTCGATTTATCAAGTGTTGGATGGTAAACATGCTATGATAGGAGCGTGTCACAGAACCTTTTCACAATGGTCAAAACGCGTGCAATGTCGCTGTACATTATAGTAAAGAATAAAGCGATGTTTATTTCTTCTTTTACGTATTTTACTAACCTACACTACTGAATCTTTCTTGAATTTTTTAATGACATATCACGTTTAATTGCAATATGTTATGATATACTTTCAATGTTCTCTTTCATTAGATGCTTTGTCGTATTTGAGTTTAAATAAAGGTATATGTCGGCTCTATAAAATTTTTGTAGAAGATTTCCCGAAAATAAATGATACGCTAAACGTTTCGTAAAAATGGCTGACAGTCTTTAGTAACTCGTTGATTTGATAACAGGATTATCATAATTTCTTTAGGTTGATCGCAAAAACAACAAGAAAATATCATCGTGTAGAAAATCTCCACTATACCTGATACTCAATCAAACTACGTCGAAAGAGTCACCGTGAAAAATACACAGAAAATAAGACAGGATTTTCGGGAAAAAACCTTCTGTTTCATTTATAACACCTATAACATTATTGATTACGTCAAATGTTTTATTGCTGAAAAAAATGGCGTTTCCAAATGGGTAAATAGTACCGGTACACTTTCTCATAAAATCATCAAAAAGACCTTTCAAATGAAGAATCATATCAAATACAATAATTCTAAACGATGAAATCAATACATGCGATTTAAAATATTGTTATAAATCATTTTATAAATATATTTTTTATTTTTATTTCTATTAAATGTCAAAGCAACTCACTTTAGAGACTCATCTTTCAAACACCTCAAGAATTTCCTATTGCTGTAAACTTACATATTTAAGCGATTATATAATTTTAGCGCTGAAATGATTTGACTAAAATTTTAAAGCGCGTCTTGAAGTATAACTTTTTGTGGATGCGCAAATTCATTACAACATTATCAATTATCAATTGCTGAAAATGATGATGCACTTAAATTTCATTGTGTCAAATTAAGTACATCTGTACATTCACGATATTCAAAGACAAACAAATTAGTGCTAATGATTAAGTAACCTTTATTTGGAAATTAGCCAAAACACAGTTGATTTCTTTCTTTCTTTATTTTTTTATAAGTTTTCTATGTATGGTGTACAGTAATTAATTAAAAGATCGGTTTCCGGAATCTACAGCTAAATTATACGTTGAATTCAAATGGTTAGAGTATTCCTGGATACTACATCAACTTTTACTTGCCAATACTACTTCTAATAGTATATTTTCCCTAAAAGCGTACATGATAGCGTATCTTGACAATATATTATGATATATTTCAGTATATTTGAAATCTATAATGATTTACATACATTCTTGTAAAGTATCATGTGTCATGTTTGTATACATCAATGTCTTTCTCAGATTTCAGTTATTGATATGTAATTTCATTGAAATTTGTATAATTCTGTTGTAATATACAGTGGAAAATTAAAGATGTTGTTTTGATTACATAATATACTTGCTTCTTTATCAGTTTATATACAATGCATTCACTACTACTAAATGATTTGTAAAAATTCGTTCTTCTGGTCAATCGACACAGACGTAAGTACTCGGTATCCACTAATTAGTAAACAGAGACATACTAACTCGACATAAATATTCACTCTTCCTCTGGTCAGTTCCTAGAAAAGTAAATACTTGTTCTTACTCTGGTCAATTTACATAGACTTAAATACTCGGGTCTTAGGGGTGGGGAGAAAGAGGAGATGTAAAGTCTTGAAAACCCTTTTCCGCCTGTAGGAATGCGAAGATTGTATTCATTTCGTAGTCTGAAACATCCTAGATTGAAGATGAATCAATTTTGTAAAAACGATGTGTCTCGGGTCCATAACTGGTGATTAGAGGAAATACTTAAAGACCACTCTTCTGTAGCAAATCCTTGTGTAGAAATGCCATGATCTGTCTCAATTTTGTCTTAAACATGCTTAGAGAACTGGACCCAATTTTGTATAAACATGCATGGCAGTAGAATAGACAATGCAATAACTCATCAGTACTATGATGTGGTGATTGGACAGCTAAGAGGAGAATATGAATACGCATGAAAACAATTAGAACCCTAAGGCACAAAATGTGATAAAAGATATAATAGATAAATATGACTTGGTTGATCCTTGGCGACTGTTTCATCCAGATTTAATTTTTTTACATGGAGGCAAAGAAACCAATAGGACAAAGAAGACTGGATTACTTTCTTACTTTAAATGAAAAATACTCGAGAACAAAGGATTGCAAACTTGCCAGAATATAAAACTGATAATTTATGTATTGTTTCAGAAATTATCTTAAAATGTTCAGAAAGGGGTAAAGGGCACTGGAAACATAATGTATCATTGTTGAACGATTTAACTTACATACAAAAAGTAAAAGATTGCGTTCCTGAAACTGTTGAAGAATACTACATTTCTGGGAATAAAGACAGTCCTGAAACATTAACAATAGTTAAAAAAAATCGAAATTTTGAAAATAAAAAAATTAGGTCTATTAAAATTCTGTCATCTAATAGAGAACAGAATGAATATAAAAAATTGTATATTGTATTGAGAATATTAGAAAAGCTAAAATGGAAGGGTTGATATTAAGATTAATGGCAAATTGGTATGAGAATTGAGAAAGGGCAACCATTTTTTTTTTTTTTTTGCTTTTGTGATTTACAAAAAAAGGCTCCCTGCCCTCTACAGCTCTTGTATCTAATGTTTATACTACTAAGACATCAGATGTTAACATGTGTGAATCTTTACTGGAAGTGACTTTTATACTATTTCACACAAAAAGAAAGAGCAATCTGGACCAAATTTCCGTAAGTATATACTCAACAAAAAAAGAACGGTTAACATGTTTCCTTGGCGAATATCTGTAAATGAGTGAAAACAAAATGACGTTTGTGCAATATTAGAAAATGGTAATGTTTTACATTACAAAATCCAAGGGGGTTACCAAAATCATTCAAGCGTGAAAGTCTGTATTAGCGAAAGAGCTGCACGAGGTTTTCTGTGACTAACTTGTATCTTCGCTTGAATTTCATAAACATTCAAACTGACAACTGTTCCTTAGATCCTTAGAACTTAGAAATCACCGAATCTTGCTATCTATCAACTTTATCATTATGACCCAGCTGTCACAAGTATAGAGAGAAAGGGCTGTAGGCATGATCCAGGCTGGGGAGTCTCGCCGTCGAGTTGCACGGCATTTTGGTTGCAGTGTTAAGACAATTTGCCGGTTGGTAAGTCGTTTAAACCAAACTAGGTCAACATCCGATCGTCCCCGAAGCGGCCGACCCCGTAAAACGACCGCCAGGGATGACCGTCGTATACGATTGATACACTTGCGCAATCGATTCGTAACCGCAGTAGAGACTACAAGAACATTGTTTGGGCGTCGTGTGTCTCCCCAAACAGTCCGCAACAGGTTGAGGGCCTACCAATTGAAAGCGCGGCGTCCCTACACTGGACCCAATTTGTTGCGACGTCACCGTAATAATCGGCGTAAATGGACCCGTGTTCACCGTCGTTGG